AACCCGCTGGTGGTCCCAAAATCGAGCCTCTTAGAACAAGGCCATATTGCCTAGAACGCATGTTCATTGCTATCGCTCTGATGTCAGCGTGCGGCGCCCTGGCACTATGTGCAGGACGCGCATAATGTCTGTGGCGAGGCACCTTCAACTTGGCGATGTTCCTGAGGTCCTGACAGCTTGACAGGTCCGATTTTCTTGGTCTGAAAGATGAAGTCATAATAAAGAGAAGTTGAGGAACCCTCCAATATAAGTATCACCTGGCAAAGGCTGCCAGCTTTGTGGCACCGCCGCAGCAAGGCTCGAGACAGCAAGCAGAGGTGCATTATCGAGCGCTTTAGTTCTATTTTTTTTTTTTTTTTTTTCAGGCTTTTTTTGCTTTTTCGCTGTATTTTTCCTTTGCAGATCGCCTATTCCGTAAGCGTCCCAGTATAAATACTAGCCACATCCCTAAGCCCTTGGTGACCTACTTTCATTTGCAGCCACTGCATCACCAAAACTTACACATTCTTTCGCAACCATGGATAGAGAAATCTCCCGTGTCCAGACTCGTATATCGAGGATCGAGTCCACCAGAGAAGCGGAACAACAGGTGGAGTTCATGGACCAGCAACACCCTGGCGAGAGCTCCTCCTCGGGTGAAAACACCGTTCGTGCTTCCAGTTTGAACGGTTTTGAAAAACCCAACCAGGAGATGGTCGAGGACACTGGGCCCATGACGCTTCCTCAGAAAAGGAAGAAGGCCAAGCTTCCTGGTATTCTCCACGAAGACGGTCGTCGTGAGCTCAGGCCGAAAGACTGCTACGACAAGTTGGGATACAAGTTCCCGTGGCACAAGAAGTGGACCATTTTGACGGTGATTTTCGCCGTGCAAATGTCCATGAACTTCAACACCTCCGTGTACCCATCGCAGATTGCCCAGATTTCCGAACATTTCGGCGTTTCCCAGCCCAAGGCCAAGGTATCCCAGATGATGTTCATGATCATGTACGCCTTTGGCTGTGAGTTGTGGGCACCCTGGTCGGAGGAATACGGCAGATGGCCCATCATGCAATCGTCGTTGTTTTTGGTGAACATCTGGCAGATTTTGGGTGGTTTGGCGCCCAACTTTGCGTCTATCATTGTGGCCCGTTCGCTCGGTGGTTTGTCTTCTGCCGGTGGTTCCGTTACTTTGGGTATGACCGCCGATATGTGGGAACCCAATGACCAGGGTTTCGCTGTGGCGTACGTTGTGCTTTCTTCCGTGGGAGGGTCGTCCATTGGCCCCATTTTCGGCGGTATCATGCACGATCACCTCTCGTGGCACTGGAACTTCTGGATCCAGTTGATTTTCGGCGGTGTGGTGCAGATTGCCCACTTCTTCCTTGTCAGCGAGACCAGAACCACCATTTTGATCGACAGAGAGGCCAAGCGGAGAAGAAAAGAAGGCGAGGACGACAATATCTGGGGTCCTTCCGAGATCCACGGCCGTGCCATGAACGTCAAGGAGGTGCTCACGATCTGGAGACGTCCATTCGAGATGTTCTTGCGGGAACCCATTGTGTTGTTTCTTTCGTTGCTTTCCGGTTTCTCGGACGCCTTGATTTTTGTGTGCATGGAGTCCTTCCCTCTTGTGTACGAGCAGTGGGGTTTCGGCAACACTGCCGCTGGTCTTGCGTTCATTCCCGTCATTATAGGCTACATCATCGCCTATGTCATCCATATTCCCGATGTGTGGCGCCAGAAATGGCTCATTTACAACGAAGGTGAGGACCTGAGATACGCCGAAAGACGACTCCTTGTCCTTCTTTACATTGCACCCCTCGAGGCCATCGGCTTGTTCGGTTTTGCCTGGACCTCCATGGGCCCTCACTATAACCCATGGATCGCCCCCATGATCTTCACCACCTGCATTGCCATCGCCAACTATAGTATTTACATGTCGACCATCGACTATATGGTGGCGGCGTACGGGCCTTATTCGGCCTCGGCAACTGGTGGTAACGGATTTGCCAGAGACTTCCTTGCTGGTGTGGCCATTATGTATGCCACCCCAATGTACCAAAACATCGGCGGCGCCAGACACTTGCAGTGGGCCTCGACCATTCTCGGGTGCATTGCCATTTTGGTGGCGATCCCGATTTATGTGTTTTACTGGAAGGGTCCTGCCATCCGGGCAAAGTCCAAGTTTGCTCAGACATTGGCTGCGGACAGAAAGGCCTCCAAGCAGCACACGGCCACCGAGTGGGAGACGGAGAAGGAGGTTTGAGCAAGCATTGGCCAATTTTAATTTTTCACTTTTGTTTTTTGCCCCGCTGGCGTAACATGGCGGGTCAAGGTTTTAGAGCTGCGTATAGGAATATAGACACCTGGAGAGAGAGTTGTAGATGCAATTGGGGTTCGGATTAATTTGCAAATTTTGTTTGATCCGTTTCTGTGTCACCGGAGTTGTGGTGCCACAAAAGGTGGTTTTGTGACTTTCAGGCGAAATGTGGTCAGCCAGCATCCTTAGCGAATTAGGCGGCAACACCCCCTTTTTTCTTTCCGTGGAAACCAACGCTCCTCGGGTGTTTTTGTCGTCAGGCGAATTGCTGAAAAACCGAGAGCTTAATTTCCCTGGTTCGTAGCCACTGGCGCTCTATATTTAACTTTCTTCTCAGATCCTCCAGTGATAGCAATGCACCTGCCGAATTCAGCCCCCCTCCAGCACCTTCCATACCTTGCCGAGAATTCAACGTCAGAAAATAATGGCTTTCTGGAACGCTCGTGCATCTCTCTGTCAAATTCGGTACGTTTCTCGTAAAAAAACCAACCGATTCACTCTCTACCGCCCCTTTTCATGCACCTCCGCCTAATCTTGCACCGCTGCACGTCCACGCCCATACATCATTGAGATAACGCCAACGTATAGCAAACATGAGGGTGGTGGGATGCCGTTGCGACGGCGTACTTCGCCGTCGGTTACGCTGGACCGCCTTTACTACAGCGGTTATTTGCATGAAACAATGGCGTTGGAACGTACGCAAGTCCAGCAGTTGTCGTTGTTTCAGGGAAGCACGGCGGGTGAATGCTGATTTTTGATAATTGACGAGGTCTCGCTAAGATTTTAGTAGTGGTGGCTGACAAATGTGTCTCAGCTTGTGCGTCGGCTTACAGTGTACCGTAGAATCCCCAAAAACAAGGCTTAATTATTTTGATGGACCCTGGCTGCTGACGGGGGGCTTGCAGTACTACGCAATCGCTGAATCAGAATCGTCCGTTCTGGGGTAATGTTAGAGTTCCGCAACGGACCGTTAAGAACCGTGCTCTAAACCGGCAAATTAAGGCAGAATGCTCAATTCTCGACCGATAGAGCCGAAACTTTCACATGAGCAAATTTCCAGCTGTGCGGCTGCTTTCGCCTTCCGTCTTTGGCGTTTAAAGCCGGTCAAGCAGATTAGGGTTCTCGGGAGTAGGCCCTCAAGTGTTTATTTTCAAGAAAGCGGTGAGATGCGGGCTGAGAGATGCCGAATGCAGGAGTGCCGGATTGTTCGTCTAAGCGAGCAGTAGGCCGCACGCCGGGGCGGCGTATGCAGTACTCTCAGCTTTAGCCTTTTAGGGCAAGCGAAAAAAAAATTTTAAGCTTCCCGCTAGCAAGATGCTAAAGAGTATCTTGTTGCACCTACAGGGGATATTTCCGAGCAGTTTCTGCCGGTACCCCTCCTTCCTACGTGTTTCAGTAGTTAAAATGCACCAACCACAGGTGTATCAGGCGCAGCGTTTATTACTCTTCAAGCAACGTCTCACAAACCTCGCAAGCGTCCCGGTAGACGAGGCAGAACGGCAAAATGGAGGTTTTTTCACTATCTAGCAGCTCGATGCCCGGGACCGTAAAAGCACTAGCAATGCGTGTGAAAAATCACTCAAGGGCCTCTCAAAAGCGAGAGATTACAGCGCACCGCAGAACAATGCCATATGTGGCGACGCCATTGGCGGACGCTGAACAATAAACCCGAAAATCCAAGGGCTTACGAGAAGCCAGGCCGGTCACAAAAGAGGTCGGTATGGAGTTGGCGTACCCTTGCATATTCTGGAAGCCTTCGCGCGCAAGGCGCCCGGAGTCAGCATGGTAGCTACATGTTCTGCGCATACGAGCGGTATCGGCGAGTTTGGAAGTTTCCTGGTCACTTTCCCCAGACTCTGGAGGAGGACGCCTCGATCCCACATTAAACTAGAAATTCTCAAATGGGGCTTATTGTCTGCTGCATTGGCCCACACAATGGCGTCTAGGAACACAATGGGACAATTGCAGGCGCGGCGCTGATCCTCGGCTAAGATGGCCCCCGTGAGAGACTTCTCGCCTATTTGACGTTGATCTTCAACAGAAACCAAAAATAAGTGGTCGCAAAGTGCTGTGAACGGCGAACCGGGAGCGCCATGGCGCCGTTCTGTGCTGGATCGAGCGTGTGCCACCCTTTACGGTGGACGCCCGCATGATACCGAGGCTTCAGCAATTCGCCCATTACACAGGGAGACCGCAATTGCATGCGCATTTTCCGGGGGAACTGGTTCGGGATTTCTTTTTTTCTGCTTCTTTCCGGCCATTGCTACAACCCCACTGGCCTTTTACCGAAATCAGTGGCCAAGAATACACCCTGGCTGCTTCTTCCTAGCGGTAGAGCGGTGAAAAGAACAATGGGCCTCACATAGGCGACTGCGCATACGCTGCTGCAGGCCTGGCTGCAAGCATGCTGCAAGCGATTTTCGCCTAGCTCTTCGCTGCAGAGTGCGTTATCCGTCTTGCGCCTGGAGCAACTTCTCAAGAATCCCTTTGCAACAATACTTCCAGTGGCTTCCGGAAACACAAAACCAATTGGGCCTTTCTCTGCATTGCCGGCCGTTTCCGGAGATGCATGAGGACCCTCGTAGCTCTGCGTAATTCTCGTTGGCTGCAACATTATAAGTCGTCGTTTATCGCCGGCTTTTGTACCCTTTTTTTCTCTTTCTTTTTGCACCCACCTTCTCTCGCTAAAGCTCGATCTCCAATGCTTGCCTACTCGGTGGCTCTCTTCGCCTACGCTGCTGTAGCATTAGGTGCTCAGATCTCCGGTGTCTTCACCAGCATTGACTCGATTCTGGCACCCGCTAACAACAGACCCGTCACTCCCAGTTGGCAAGCCACCGTGCTGTGGCTGATGCCCCGCCTGAAAAACATCAAAAACGGCGACACCTTCACTTTGCACATGCCCTATGTGTTCAAGTTCACCTCCCTGAGTAACACCCTTGCCTTGACTGCAGGAGGTACTACTTTCGCAAACTGTATCTTGTTTTCTGGTGATAACGTTGTGGGATACTCTGAAGTCCAATGTACCGCCACTTCTGCTGCTGAAAACGTCGAGTCGGCCACGGGCCAGATCACGTTCCCCTTCACCTTCAATTCTGGTTACTCCCTGGACCCTGTCAACCTTCAAGCTGCCAATGCATGGAACGCTGGTTCCAACACCGTCACCTGGACTGATGGAAACACCCAGATCTCCACCACCGTGAACTTCCTGGGCGGCGCCAGCCAGGTCATCCTGGGTTCTGCTGAAAACGGCGTCTACGGCTTGCGGAAAATGGTGAACCTCAACGTCAACCAGCACTACCTCTTGGGTCCTCTGTGTTCCTCCACCATGTCAGGAACGTTGCAGATCACCAATCCCTCCTCGCAGGTGCCCTTTGACTGTCTGACGATCGCCGGTGCCATTTCCGACCAGATCAACGCGTGGTACTACCCACAGACCGCCAACACCGTGGGTGTATCTGTCTCCAGCTGTTCCTCCACAGGCGCTGTTGTGTCTTTCAGCAACGTGCCTGCTGGTTTCAGACCCTACATGAACGTCAACGCCGCCATTCCGCTGGGCACCTTCTCGTCGCAGAACCAGTACTCGTACAGCTTCTCGTGTGGCTGGAGAACTCTTAGTGGTCTGATCACACAGCTGTGGACCATGTACAGCGATGGAAACACCGGCTCTGGAGGCGCCTTCAAGCCCATTGTGCTTACCACCGTCACGGACCCCACCGCCACCACCACCGGTGTCGGCACCGTCACGGGCGCTTCCACAAACACCATCGTGGTGACGGTTCCTATCTCTCAGACCACCATCACCGTCACCGGCACCGGAACCGCCTCTACCACCCACTCGTCCACAAGCAGCGGCACCAGAGTCATCTCCATCGACGTGCCTACGCCCACCACCACCATCACGCGTACCTACTCCGGCTCCACCAGCTCCTTCCTGACCGTTCCAGCCACCACCGGCGGCACCGGTACGGTTATCGTCGATGTGCCCACGCCTACGACCACCTTGACCCAAACGTGGACCGGAACAACCACCTCCACGCAGACCATCCCGGCCACCTCGGGCGGAACCGCTACTGTCATTGTGGATGTGCCTACTCCTGTCACCACCGTCACCAGCACATGGACAGGCCTGACCACCGCCACTGTCACCCAACCGGTCACTTCTGGCGGCACCCAGACCGTTGTTGTGGAGGTGCCCACGCCTACCACCACGTTGTACTCCACCTGGACCGGAACCGTCACCACCACCACCACTGTGCCTGCTACATCCGGCGGAACTGCCACGGTGATTGTTGAAGTGCCCACGCCAGTGACCGTGATCACGTCTACATGGACCGGATCGACCACCAACGTCGTCACCGAGCCTTTCTCGCTGGGTACCCAGACCATCGTGGTCGAGGTGCCTACTCCTACCACCACTCTCACCAGAACATGGACAGGAACGGAAACTACCACCGAAACCATTCCAGCTCAATCCGGTGGAACGGGTACTGTGATTGTCGACGTCCCTACTCCGTACACCACCATCACCAGAACGTACACCGGCAGTGTGACCACCACAGAGACCATTCCAGCCACCACTGGCGGAACCGGCACTGTTGTGGTTGACGTTCCTACTCCTACTACGACGATCACGAGAACATGGACGGGCTCGACCATCACCACCGAAACCGTGCCTGCTACTACCGGCGGCACTGCTACTTTGATAGTTGATGTTCCTACTCCTACCACCACTGTGACCTCCACCTACACTGGCCTGATCACCACCACCGTGACCGTGCCTGCCACTACCGGTGGAACCGCCACTGTGGTTGTTGAAGTGCCTACTCCTACCACCACCATCACCACCACTGGCGATGTCACCAATATCGTGACTCTGACTATCCTAGCTGCTTCTGGCGGAACGGAAACCGTGGTTGTCGAGGTGCCTACTCCTACAATCTACACCACCAGAACGTGGACCGGTTCTGTCACCACCACGGAGACTATTCCAGCTACTACCGGTGGAACCGGCACTGTCATCATCGATGTTCCAACTCCAACGACTACCATTACTAGAACGTGGACTGGCTCTGAGACTACAACTGAGACGGTTCCTGCTGCTTCTGGTGGAACTGGTACTGTGATCGTTGATGTGCCAACTCCTCTGACTACGATTACCAGAACTTGGACCGGCTCCATCACCACCACCGAGACCATCCCCGCTGGATCCGACGGAACCGAGACTATCGTCGTTGATGTTCCTACTCCAACCACCACTATCACCAGAACGTGGACCGGAACGGAATCCACCACCGAGACCATTCCAGCTCAATCCGGTGGAACCGGTACTGTGATTGTCGATGTGCCCACTCCTTACACTACCATCACCAGAACCTGGACAGGTACTACTACTCAGACTGAGACTGAGCCTGCTCCATCTGGTGGCACCGGAACCGTTGTGATTGATGTGCCTACACCAACCACCACCATTACTAGAACCTGGACTGGTACCGAGACCACTACCGAGACCATTCCAGCCGGATCTGGTGGTACTGAGACCATCATTGTCGATGTTCCAACCCCTTACACGACTTTGACTAGAACCTGGACTGGAACAACCACCCAAACTGAGACTGAACCTGCTCCTTCTGGAGGTACTGGTACTGTTGTCATTGATGTTCCAACCCCAACTACCACGATCTACTCTACCTGGACTGGCAGCACGATCTCCACTCGTACGATTCCAGCTTCTTCTGGCGGTACCGACACTGTGGTGATCGAGGTGCCTACTCCAATCACTGTTATCACCTCCACATGGACTGGTTCAATCACCGAGGTTGTTACGGAGCCTTACGAGTCTGGAACCCAGACTATTGTTGTCAACGTGCCTACTCCTACCACTACCATCACCAGAACGTGGACCGGAACGGAAACTACTACTGAGACCGTTCCAGCCGAGTCTGGCGGAACTGGTACCGTGATTATCGATGTTCCAACTCCATACACCACCTTGACCAGAACCTGGACTGGTACTACTACTCAGACTGAGACTGAGCCTGCTCCTTCCGGTGGCACTGGTACTGTGATTATCGACGTTCCTACTCCTACTACTACGATTACCAGAACGTGGACTGGTACTGAGACAACCACTGAGACCATCCCAGCTGGCTCCGGTGGTACTGAGACCATCGTGGTTGATGTCCCTACACCTTACACCACTATCACCAGAACCTGGACTGGAACTACTACTCAGACTGAGACTGAGCCTGCTCCTTCTGGTGGCACTGGTACCGTGGTTGTTGATGTGCCTACTCCTGTTACTTCTATCACCAGAACCTGGACCGGCACTACAACTCAAACGGAGACCATCCCAGCCCAGTCTGGCGGAACTGAAACAGTGATTATTGATGTTCCTACTCCTGTCACTACCTTGACCAGAACTTGGACTGACTCCATCACTACAACTGAGACCATCCCTGCCGAGTCCGGTGGTACTGAGACCGTCATCATTGACATCCCAACTCCTACCACCACCCTCTTCTCCACATGGACTGGATCTACCATCTCCACAAGAACCATTCCTGCTGAATCTGGTGGAACTGACACTGTCGTGATTGAGGTTCCTACCCCAATTACCGTCATCACTTCTACCTGGACCGGTTCTATCACCGAGATTGTCACTGAGCCTTACGAGTCTGGCACTCAAACTATTGTCGTGAACGTTCCTACTCCAGTTACCACTGTGACCAGAACATGGACCGGCACTACTACCAGCACCGAGACCATTCCAGCTGAGTCTGGAGGAACCGAGACGGTTATCATTGACGTTCCTACCCCAGTGACTACTATCACTAGAACCTGGACTGGAACCACCACTTCGACTGAGACTGTTCCAGCTGAGTCTGGTGGAACCGAGACTGTGATTATCGACATCCCAACTCCTGTCACTACGATCACCAGAACCTGGACCGGCACTGAGTCTACTACCGAGACCATCCCCGCTGGTTCCGACGGTACTGAAACTGTCGTTGTTGATGTTCCTACTCCTTACACCACCATCACTCGTCCATGGACTGGAACCTTCACCACTACCGAGACCGAGCCTGCTCCTTCTGGAGGCACTGGCACTGTTGTTGTTGATGTTCCTTACGAAGCTACCACTGTGACCTCGACTTGGACCGGTACTACCACCAGAACGGTTTCTGAACCACCTGCTGGTTCTGACACTGTTGGAACTGTGATTATTGAGGTTCCTCCAGCTACTACGGACTACACCACTTTGACTTCCACTTGGACCGGTACTACCACCAACACCATCACCAACCCACCATCTGGTTCTGATACCGTTGGAACGGTTGTGATTGAGGTTCCTCCTACTTCGTCTCAGTTCACCACTTTGACATCTACTTGGACTGGTACCACTACCAGAACTGTTACTGAGCCACCATCGGGATCTGACACTGTTGGTACTGTTGTTATTGAGGTTCCACCAACTTCTGTTGATTACACTACTGTCACTTCTACCTGGACTGGAACTACAACTGCTACTGTCACTAACCCACCATCTGGAAGCGACACCATTGGCACTGTGGTTATTGAAGTTCCACCAACCTCTGTTGACTACACTACTGTCACTTCTACCTGGACTGGAACTACAACTGCAACCGTCACTAACCCACCATCTGGAAGCGACACCATTGGCACTGTGGTTATCGAGGTTCCACCAACTTCTGCTGATTACACCACCTTGACTTCGACCTGGACTGGTACTACTACTAGAACTGTCACCGAGCCACCATCTGGCTCTGACACTGTGGGCACCGTCATTATAGAGGTGCCTCCAACCACTGTTCCTGTTATCCCACCAGTGCTGTCTTGGAACTGGAACTCCTCCTACGTGGTTTCCCTGTCTTCGATCCCTGTTCCCGTGAGTCTGTCATTGTCTCTCACTGAGAGCTCAGAGTCCTCGATCGCTTCTTCGATTCCACCAGCTTCCGGCTCCGAGCCTGCCACTCCTGCCGTGTCCTCGTCCCCAGCTAGCACCGAGCCTCCACAGCTGAACACCGACAGTTTCAGTGGACCTACATCTTCTGGCCCTATCACCACCGCCTCGAATCAAGGTCCAGGCCCTAGCCCAGGTCCAGCTTCCGATTCGTCGGCTCCTGGTCCAAACCCATCTGGTCCAAACTCTGGAGCTGAAACGTCTCTTTCGACTGCTTCGAACCCAGGCCCAAGCCCAGGTCCCGCCTCTGAATCGTCCGTTCCAGTCTCTCCTGGTCCAAACTCTGAGGGCTCTGCATCGACTGTCACAGTTGTTACTACTCCTGGTCAGCCTGGTCCAAACCCATCTGGAACCGGCCCTGTTCCATCTGGTCCAAACTCCGCTGGTCCAAGCTCATCGAACCCTGACACCACTGTGCCTGTTGCTCCAGGACCTGCTCCTTCTGGCCCAGCTGTTCCAGGTACTGAGTCTTCTGCTCCAGGTGAGTCTCAGCCAGCTCCTTCTGGTACTGCCAACACCGAGTCTCAACCAAGTCAAACCGGCCCAGCTCCATCTGGACCAAATCAGACTGGCCCGGCTCCATCTGGTCCTAACGAGACTGGATCCACTCCTTCTGGTCCTAACGAAAACGGCCCTACATCTACCGGACCAGCTCCTGCCAACTCGGCTCCTCCTGCTCCTAACCCTGAGCCTGTCGCTTCCAACACTGTTCCAGGTTCCAACCCAGCTCCATCTGGTTCCAACCTAGGACCAGCACCTTCTGGACCAGCACCTTCTGGCTCTAACCCAGGACCTGTTCCAGTGCCTGGCCCTGCTCCATCTGGTACTGAGTCCAACAACAACCCTGCCAGCACTCCATACCCAACCTCTGTGGCTGGTCCAAGCACCCGTGTTCCAGGAAACTCTGCCGCTGCTTCTGAAACCAGCTCTGTTGTTTCAGAGGGCCCATCTTCACTGGTTGTCTGCTACAAGGGTAACTGCGTTACACTTCCTGTAACCTCTCAGGGTGCATCGACCTCAACCCCAGTTGCTGTTTCGCATGCCTCTTCGTCATCGGCTCCTGTTGGTCCTGAGCCTTCTCCAGCATCTGCTACACCAGCCATTTCCACATACGCTGGTCTGGCTGCTGCCGTCAAGATCTCGGGTCTTGCAGCTGTTGTTGTCCCATTGCTTCATGTCTTGTTTTGATGAACATCAAGCGATGTTCTTTTAGTTCGTTTGTTGTATTCTTTCGACTTGCTGGCTTCCAAGCCATGCTTTCTTTCGATATCCTTTATTAGCATTTTTGGCGTTGTTACATTACTACATGTTTGTTTTCATGTACGGATTTATCTTCGGTTTATACCCATCCACGTATAATACATTTTATTTAAAAAAGCTGTAGATTAGTGGGATTGATGATAGGGGAGTTGTTGGGTTGAGGAGATATTTTGGGTGTGGGAACTAATAGTATATAGAAGCATAGTGAATTGTAGAAGAATTAACTACCAGAAGAAAAAGGAACTGTTTCCTTGTAGCATTAACAGCGAAGTTCTGTAATTTTTGAAACAGTTGCAATGTCATCAAAATCCAACTTTCTGGAGGCCAAAGACGGAAATGGGACTTTGAGGGTAGAAACAACAACCCACCAATTTCACACTTCTAGAATCACCATCGTCCCACACTCGTCACAGAATTTAAGATTTCAAACCCAAAATCATAACTTCACTATCCCAGCCTAGCCAACTCATTAAACTTCTACCAGGCGGCAATTTTGTCCGTTCCTCGGCATCAAACAAGCATCACCCATGCAACATGAAAGCGGTCATGACTTTCCAAAAAGGCTGCACTTCAAGAACCCACGCATACGGCGCTAGCGGGCTGCAAAACGTTTGCCGTCATTTGGACAAATCCGTTCTCAATTCCGAAGGCCCATTTACGAATGCCAATGCGATGACATGCAAATTTACCAAGAAATTCCGAGAACGAGGAATTGATGAGGAATTGAGAATGAAGCTTTGAGGATTAAGAAATGAAAATCGAGGATAAAAGAAGATTCCAAAAGCCCAGGCACTGTGGTTCCACGGATCTCGTCCAGAAGCAAGTACGAGAGGATAAGCGCCCTTTGTTTTGAAGCCTTCAAACACCATCAATGGCATTGTTGCCAAAGAGGAAACACAATTCCGAAATATAGCCGCGGTTACGCTCGAGAGAAGAAGAACCTCGGCACCATTGTCCAGTGGTCCAGAAGCTCTTTGTGCTACTTTTCTTACTCGGCGAAAAAAGAACAAAGTGGGATCTGGTTAAGCGGTGTCACAAAACCGTGTATTGTACGCGAACAATGCAGGAAACGACAACCCCAGAACCACGTCCTTTTCAAAAAGTATAACTTTTTTTTTTTTTTTAGCAACACCTGCAATTCCCACGCTAACCTCCAACCTAATGCAAAGCCAATTTTTTAGTCGAGCATTCCCTGCTTTTCTGACGCGGTGCGCCTAACCCAAAATGCAAGGCGCTGCAATGCCGATCCCACCTGTCGGTGGAAACAATAAGCGGCGCCGAGGATCGAAGTCAGATTGTGACATGGGAATGTGCCGTTAAGCCTTGCCAGGGTATTTAGAGTTTATGCAACGGTTTGCTACTTTGAGCCGTGCCCTTTTTTGGGTTTGGCCTCACGGATTAAGGTATGCTTTAGGCTTTCGCCAGGCATTGTTGGGGTAGACGTAAGATGAGTCAGAAACGGGCACATGGAGCCGAAAAGCCAGGCTGCAACGGCATGTAGGCTTTTTAGACCACACCGTAGTGGTTTTAAAGCCCAAGCCCGGCTCACGCCTCGGAGGCTTGCTCCGGTGATTCGCGTCGATAATCTGCCTGAGGCGTTCAGGGTGGGTGGGTGGTGGGTGGTAGCATTGAGACGGTGAATTTTTAGGAATTTGAGGAATGAAGGGATTGAGGAATTTAGGGGTAAGGGATTGAGGGATTAAGGAATTTGAAGGCGTTAAGGTTTGGTGAGTTTTGCTGCAATTGGATCAATCGGGACGAAGTGGTGGTGAATTTGCTCAATTGGTGTACTACAGCACCGTAGCAACTGATGCTTTCCAGGGTAGTTGTAGAAAAGCCCAAGTTCCAAAGGTCGTCCTCCAAAGAGAGGTTGAACTTTTCAGAGCGACTACGAATTTTAATAAGATTGGGGGTTTCGCTTCAGGCATGAGTCTCTCAATATCCGTACAGCCCTCCTGAATGTATCGAAATTATTCTTGACTAGCTTCGTAGCCTTCATCGTGATGACATTGTCAATGACTGTGGACGAGATAACGGAAGGGAACGTACTTATAGCGTATTTGGCTTATCTGACCCCATTTCAATGGCCAGACCTCAATGCTCCCTATAAACCAAATACCAAAAGAAATCGAAACCCACTGCACTAAATCCCACAGGTTGCAACATCTCCTACATCTCGTATTAAATAAGTGTATTAAAGAAGTGAATTAGGAAGCCAAGCATATAACTGGTATCTAAGCGACAGCTTTTCGAACAAACATGAATGAAGAAAGGAAAAAGTAGCGAACGGGTGCCTCTCTAAAGCACAGCAAGAAGGGCAAGCGACACGAGCCACAGGGCGCCGTACTTCACCACCGAAGCGCCGGCCTCGTATGTGGAAACGGCCTGAGGCTCCTCTGGAGCAGCCGAGGCGTCAGGAACCACAGTGTTCAAGGTGGAAGCACCAGGGTGAGGCTCGCCTGCGACGGTTTCACCACCGGATGGGGCCTCTCCAGAAGGTTGTTCAGGAGCGTCACCAGAAGGAGCATCTCCAGATGGAGCATCTCCAGATGGCTGTTCCTCAGAAGGCTTGTCTCCAGAAGGAGCATCTCCAGAAGGCTTGTCACCAGAAGGTTGTTCACCAGATGGCTTGTCGCCAGATGGCTGCTCAGGCTCCTTTGGCTGGCCTCCAGATGGCTTGTCACCGGAAGGAGTCTCCTTTGGCTTGTCTCCAGATGGAGTCTCCTTAGGCTGCTCAGGCTGCTCGGGCTTGGGCTCCTCGCCTGGCTGCAAAATGGAGGTCACCTCTTGTGGACCGCCCTCCACGGTGGTCTCGTGGATCACAGCAGTCACCGTCTTGACCTCACCGTTCTTGTCCTCCGTCACAAGCGCCGTGGTCTCAGGACACACAGACACAATCTGCGTCACCTGGCCGTCGTCCTTGGTGGAGTCGCACACCACCACCGTCTTGGTCTTGACGTTGCCGTCTGGGTAGGTGGTCACGACGGTGCTAGTGGTGCCGGGGTCCTCTGGGGTCTCGGCTGGAGGGAAGAGAGAAGTGGTGGTGGACAACTCGCCGTCCGAGTCGGTGGTCACGATGATCACGCCAGAGTCGGTCTGCTCACCATCGCTGGTAGGCCAGGTCGAAGTGTAGGTGGTGAAGGTGGGGGACTCGGGGGTTTCTTCGGGCGGGAAGAGCGACGTGGTGGTGGTGACGGAGCCCTGGGAGTCGGTAGTGACGATAATCACACCGGAGTCGGTCTGGTCTCCGCTGGTGGGCCAAGTGGAGGTGTAGGTTGTGAAGGGTGGTTCTGGGGCATCGGAGCTTGGAGGGGCGTCCGAGCTTTCAGCAGGGGGAGCGTCCGAGGTGGTTTCCTCAGGAGGAGCAGAGCTGGAAGGTTCTGGAGATGGAGATGGCGATGGAGATGGTGATGGAGATGGTGAGGGCTCTGGTTCAGAAGAAGGCTCAGGCTCTGGCGAGGAGGCAGGCTCGGAGGAAGCAGGCTCGGAAGAAGCAGGCTCAGAAGAAGTCTCCGAAGTCGAAGTCTCCTCAGAAGAGGTCTCCGAAGAACTTGGGGGTGCAGAGCTGCTCTCAGAGCTCGACGATGGAGCCAGGCTGGAGGACTCCTCCTCGGTAGGAGCAGCAGGGAACTCTTCACACTGGCAGTTGTTGGGAACATCGCCAGGGTAGTCGCCAGAGTACGAAATACGGGTTCCTGCGTTGCCCACACCGTTGGTGGAGAAGTTGGACTCGTCGTAGCCCTCGCCGATCTTGAAGGCCATTCTGAACACACCAAGGAAGAAGGAAAGCTCCAAAGTGTCGCCCTCGTACGAGTAGCCCGTGAAGCCCGTGTTGACTCTGATCTCGTTGCCGCCGCCAAAACCAGCAACAGTGTATGTCTTGGTTCCAGTGAGCGAGGGCTCCAAGCCAAGCACAGACAACATGGACAGCTCGGACGAAAGGTAGATGGTCTGCTCGTTGTCGACGTTCCAAGGCGTGATTTCAAGCTGGAGGTGGCCGTCGTCCATGATGTTGATACATCCGTTACCCTCGATACTGGTGGTCTGAACCCAGTTCAAACGCTCAATACAGATGGTTCCCGTGTTCTCCACCTGGCCTAGCGCCTGCGAGATGGTGATGGGCGAGGCGTTACCTCTGTCCTGACGGAGGTAGATTTTGCCCGAGTTGGACCAGTCCAAAGCGGAGCCGAGGATGATGGGGGGAGTCACCGAGAACACTGGCGTGCCGATCCACATGTTCTGGGTGTTTTCGAACGTTCCCACAGAGTCCAAGTTGAAGTTGGTCACCACCTGTGCGTTCAAGGCGTTGAAGACAATGTCGCCGTCGTTCAAGATGGTTCCCGAGGCAATGGTCACAGAGGAGGCCAAGCCGTTGGTGGAGGTGACAAACCACTGGCCCTTGTTGTTCAAGTTGCCGCCGAGAACGGTAAGGGCGTTGTTGACGATGGAGTAGTAGACGCCCTCGTTGATGTTGAGCTCGCCAATGGCCAAGTTGGCGGGCGAGTTCTCGATGGTGTCTTCGCTGATGGTCAAGGCCAAAGCGGAGCTGAGGCAGGTTGCTGCCGTGAGCAAAGTCTTGTAGCTTAAGATTCCCATGGCTGGATGGTTTTTGGAAGTCCTGGCGGGCACGGCCTCCTTATATACCCTGAGGCCGGGCTGCCGGCTGCTGAGTTGCTCCAGGGTCGAAAACAATCCATTCCAGTGGTTTACTTAGAGGAGGATAGGGAATGGTTGCAAATCTGCAGCCTCTGCACGCCGCATGCACAGCTAATCACGTCGTGCTTTTTGCCTGTGGTCGTGGATTCCATTCCTTCGTGGCAAACGGCAACTGTGCATTATCTGGCCTTGCTGTGGGGCTCCAATTGGCTGTTTTTTGTCGAAAGCGAAAGCTTATCGAGGCAGTTTGTAGAGGTTACCCTGGAGTGTGCGGCTGCGGCTGCACCGTACTTGCGAGGCTTGTGCAGCGGCCCCAGGAATGTCGATTTTTAGAGAGTGGCTGGATTTCTCTGGTCGACGATCAGTTCCCCGACGGGCCGCCCAACCCACGAAAAAACCCTGAGCTGCTTGCCGCCACAATGGGCCAAGGATCGCCTGGATATTTTTGTCCGATTCCTTATTGGGCGCTGCGATCCGCTGTTCAGGAATATCAACATCTGCACACCTAGGACCTGGATCCCCAGCCTGCCAGCACCGCCAGGTGCCCAAAATCGGATCCACAGGGTGCCCGATTGCACTATTGTCATTTTGTCCTTGTTTTAGGTCGATCGTCCAATCAAGATTTCATCCCCACCGCTTCAAGTCCCTCTATCCATGGAATGCAGAGGCCAACTATCCAGACGCTTCACCATCCCATGTGCCAGATATTTTCTGCCACTTCATTCATTTTCTCGTGCTGTATTTTTCCTCTACCCATGCGGTGCCTGCTTTTGCAGACACTATTTTCCAGCCGCACCTCCCCACAACGTCTAATCCTTCTCTATCTCTCCAGAGTGAGAGATCTGCACGCTTGGGCCTCCCCATTGATGCACAGGCGTGGGACAATCCTCGCCAGAAGAGCAACATTTGGCACCGATTAGGAAAACAGCGCCGATTCCGCCGCCGGCCTTGCTCCTTTTACGAGCGAAGCTTCCTGAGCATTGTGTAGCGAAAGCTTGTTCCGGTTTTGGCTGCGAAAATCGCACCACCCAGGGCCCTCCAGGATCAGGTCTAATTCACCCCAAGCCATAATCCTCACCTAAATCCAAAATCCTAATCCCAAGCCATAATCCTCCTTGGGGCCATTCCACCTCGTTAGAAGCCCCTGGCCAGACTGGTTTTTAGTGCTGTTTACGATTTACGGAATGGGGTGTGCCCAAGCCACATTCACAAGGTGCTTCCCTCTTCGTCGCACATGGTGGAAGATCGTCAGCACATCTTTTCACGAGGGGACGAACGTCACCAGCATTCTTGCTGGCGGGGTGTGGCGCCTCGAGTGAGATCTCTATTATTTTGGATTCCTTCTTTTTCGAAGTTTCCTTTCTGGTTGTGGATTTCGACCGTTTGGGCTGCCTCCAGAGGGTCCGCGTTCCCGCCATGAAATTCTCCAAAATGCGGCAGAGGCTTTTATTCGCACTTGCACCGTGCCCGCGTTGCTTCTAATCTTGGAACCCATGGTCCCCTCTGCAAATCGGCGTAATTGTGCAATTGGCGTAATTGTGCTTTTTTGGGTTTAATGTCCCGTGGCAGGCTCTTGGCTGTTTCACTGTCATGCTTGCTTTCCTTTTTCTCTGAACCAGGCTTTGGCTGAACTCGAGCGCAATCGCTGATACCTCGCATTGACTATCCACCAGAGGCCGTTTGCCCAACTTTTTCCAACTTTTTCTTAAATTTTTCAACCCGTTTTTCTTAACTTTTTCTGAAATTTCCCTCAAGAGGTTCGCTTTTCTTAGCGCACAGCAGCTCAGGCGATTATACGCTGTTTCCTCTTCCTCAGGTGATACCGGCAGCTGGCTCGGTGGAGTTCCCGATCGACAGAGATCGTCCACACTGCGTTTCGACGCCGTCTTCGACGCAGAAAAAGAAGAATACCCCCAGCTTTTCGGCAAGTGACCCTGCCGACCCAAATGGAGGTTTAATGATTTGCAGCTGTTCAGAACGTGGGTTCTATTTCTGTCATTTGCGTTTTGGCAAGGACCCTGATTGGGCAGACCCGCCTGGGGTCTTCCGCCTGGGGTCTTGTGCTAGCGCTGCTGTATCTCCGATCATGGGGTACGGTCATGCCTGGGATGGACCGGTAGGGTCACCGGCAGGGTTGGAGGTGGTGTCTTGAGAAGGCTTGGAGGTTTTGTTGGGAAGGGTTTTTGCCATTTGAAACTAGTGTTACGTTTTGGCCGTAATTGGGTGTCTCGTTGCCGGAAGGTGTTGATACTACGGTGCCGAGGTGCAATTGAGGTATGGCAGTGAGAGGGAGGGTTGAGGATTAGATATGGTTGATTCGTCATAATCGCTCAATTGCGTGGGTAAGGGTGGATAGGGGGTGTGGAATTGGAACAGTCTGATTTTGGGTGACTTTGGTGGGATCCAGAGCTTCACAGTCTGTTGTCTAGGTTTGAGTCACAGGAGTGAAAGCATGGAAGCCACACCCCCAAAATGACACAAATGGGAAGAGAAGGGTTCCAAGAGAGATTTTAAAATCCACTTGAATCCATTTTTCTCCAGCCCTGCCCTTGCCTTTGAGTGCACCGCAATCGAGCTTCAATCCAAAGAAGCAAGCACACAGATCCACCAGTCAGCACCCGCCAAATCGCCAGAATCTGAAGATTTTCTGGAATTCTTAGCTCAACTTGTATTGCCAAAACAGAAACGGCTCATCAACTTCCCGCTGCCGTGGCCACTCCACCCTATCTATCTGATCAGTTCACTGTCAAGCCCAAGACAAACAGCACCGCTCATTGTCTCGTCCCACTCAACTCATTCCCACTCAGCCATTCCCGCTAAGCTCTGATTTTTATTTTTCAAAACCCTGCTTTCGTGCTTTCCGAACCAAAATCAAATAACAAAAATCGTCAAAGGCAGAGGCCATCCGGCAAGCCCACGGAAAACCGTCTATCGCCTCGTGCCTGTCATTTTCCGGATAAACTCTGAAACCGCCGGCGCCCAGGACAAAGGTGCACATTCTTCCATATTACAAGCGTCTGGACCCGGAAACGTCCACTGTGGCTCCGGACTTTCTAGGCACGAAGCCGAGGCCGTGTTTTTTACGAATTCAGCCGTGGCGTTTACTACCAAGTTGCATTCACATTCACCTCAGCTTGTGAATTTTACAATTCCCATATCCACATTTTTGTCGTTGCAAATCCCAGCTAGTCATTACGCCAAAACGGAGTCTTGCAGATGCTCCAGGAACAAAACGTCAACTCACGTAGGCGAATGCGAGGCCGTTGCGGCACGAGCAGGCGCGTTTTGCGAGGAACCCTGGCCCAGCAAAACACGGCCCACTTCGGCGGAAACAGGTGTTTTCGAAAAACTGGAAAAATTCACCGCCAAAACACAACCACAAAAAGCCATTGGCGAAAAATCACCGCAAAAAACCACCCAGAACATCCCCAAACCGCCACCACCCCCTGGGTTCTGGCCCCACCGCCTCGATCGCGAATCGCGACTTTTGGCGTCTCGCAGCCTCCATCCTCCATAAACGCTCCCACCTTAACCCCAAAACAGTCCACGTTCCTCACCTTTAAGCCCAGATTGCCCCTGCTGCTGGCGGTGCCTGCTTCGCCTGCTCTCGTCATATCGCCTCTCGCGTTCGGAGCTTCCAGGCTTCGCCGCAACCCCTGTAGAAAAATGGCTGCAAAAAGTATAAAGCTGCCACCCGCTGCCTCCACCTCCACCATCTCCAGTTCTCCTCCACCCCCATGCTTTCTGCGTTTGTCCTTCTTTCCCTAGCACTCACCTGCGACGCTCTCACGTTGCCTGCCAGCCAGGACACCGTGGGGTTTTCTGCCAATGCGTGGAACGGCAACCTGGTCACCTCTCTGTCCACTGACGACTATGCTGGATACACTGCCGACCGCTTTGGCGAGGCCCAGGCTGGCCCTGCCTCTCTGAGCTCCAGTTCCAGCTCCCAGGCTTTCCAGGAGCCATCTTTCGAGACTAGCTCTCTGGAGTCTTCTTCCCAGACTAGCTCGCTGGAGCCATTTTTCGCAGCCAGCTCTCTGGAGCCTCAACAGACTTCCCAGGAAACGGCTGCTTTTTCTTCAATTGCAGAGACTTCGTCTGCTTGGGCGCCCGAGACCCCCAGTTCTTCCTCGGAAATCAATTCCTCCAGAGCCTCGCTTCCTTGGGAATCTCCACTGTCGGAGCTTCAGGCTGTCTCTGCAGCTCCAGAGGCTGCTGAGTCTTCTGCTGAGTCTTCTGCTGCATCGTCTGCTGAGTCTTCTGCTCAATTGTCCGAATCGGACCTTGGCGCTTCCACAACCATCAGTGGCGAGTGGTCTGCTGAATCGTCTGCTGACTTATCTGAATCCGATCTTGGAGCTTCTTCCACCATAACTGGGGAGTGGTCTGCTGAGTCTTCCTCCCAGCCCGAGGAATTCGATTCCGCTCAATCCTCCGACCCAATTGAGTCCTCCATCGAATCCTCCACTGAGTCCTCCGTCGAATCCTCCACTGAGTCCTCCGTCGAATCCTCCGCTGTTTCTTCAGACTCTGCTGCTCCCTCAGATCTCGCTTCTGCGGTAGCTTCTTCAACCGAGGCCTCTGAAGCCTCCTCCTCGGCCTTGTCGGCCTCGTCGGCTGCTTCTCTGGCAGAAGCCAGCTTTGCGTCCTTCTCCAACTCCACCGTGGTGTCCACGCTTCTCACCACCCGACTCGTCACCTTGTCGGCTGAAAACGGCCCCACCACCGTCTACTCCACCGAGGTGGTCACCGAAGTCGTCACTGTGGGCGGAAACGGCGACGACGACAACGACGAAAACACCCAGAACAACGCTCCTCAGGTCACCACGGACGTCCACACCACCACCGATGCCGACGGCACCGAGGAAACCACCGTGGAGGTGACCACCCTAGTGACCGAGGCTGCCGAGACCGGGTCTGGCAGTGGTGGAAGTGACGGTTCTGGAAATGGTGGTTCTGGAAATTCTGGAAATTCTGGTAACGGCAATTCCGGTAACGGCAATGCTGGTGGTAATGGCAATTCTGGTGGTAACGGCTCTGGTTCTGGTAACGACAACGACAACGACAACTCTGGAAACGCAGACCAGACCACCCTGACCATCTTATTCACCGTCACCGTCGATAGCCCCTCCTCCTCGGAAACCCCGGTCTTGCCTTCCTCGCCAGGCCAGGGCGGCTACGGAAGCAACAGCACCATCTCCTCGCTGAACTCGTCCCAGCCCTTCACTTCCTTGGCTGCAAACAGCAGTGACTCGTATTCTACTGCTTCCTACAACTCCTCCACGCTTTTGAGCGGAGCCCAGCTTCCACAGCTGTCCACGTTCCTTCTGGTGGCCTCCAGCGCCGCCCCCTCCGGTTTTTAGTCACGAATCTTATAGAGTTTAGAGTGTTGTAGTGTGAGGTGAGCATATGAGATCATGGGATACGATATGGTGGGAAGTTTTCTTTAAGAAATTGTTTTTGTATTTCAATTTTAAAAGTTATTTTTATTCTTCTTATTTGAGTATTGAACAGAAAGTAAGGTTTCGCTGATTTTGTGTTATTTTTTTTTTTTTTTTTGTTAGATTTGTGGTGATTATTTGGAGTAGTGAGGTCTAGTCAAATGAAGAGGATAGTGTAAGAATTGTTGAAGAGACGTTTGGTGCACAATTAATGATAATGAAGAGGGTTAGTTTTCTGGCGTTTCTTCCTTTCTGTTGTATTTCGATATTAGTTATTTCTTCCCTTTTTTTTTTTATGTTTTCATAAATTTTGATATTATAGCTTTTTGTGGAAAATTCACCGAATGTCTTCAACTTTTACCTCGAGATACAGAAACTCACAAGAATCCAGAATTCGTACATAGAGACAAAAACGTCCAAAAACGCCCAAATCAACAAATCCAAATCCCTACACTCACATAAATAAATTATTAATTGGGTATAAAACGAAATTATAAACGAAGAAATAAATCCCAGAAAATCATGTAGAACGAAAGAAAGCATGGTGAAGTTCACCTCTAAGCGATAGCGAAAAATGCAAGTGGGAGCAACCATTTGAGGCTCACCCTTGGAACGGAGGCAGCAGCCTCGTAAGCAGACACAGTAGCCTCTGGCTCACTGCTGCTGAAAGAAGTGTAGATAGACTCGAGAGTGTTGTAGCCACCCGATGTCTTGGAAGATGCAACACCCTCAGTGACACCGGCAGCGTTAGACTCGGTGACGGCAGTGCCCTCTGGAGCTGGACCCTGTGCCTCTGGCGAAGCAGTAGTAGGCTCAGTGGCATCTCCAGCAACAGTAGTAGAGCCGGCCTTGGAGGTAACAGCAGCAGGTGTTTGGACAGGAGTGTCAGCAGGAATCTCGGCGGCAGTAGTACCACCAACGGCAGTCTCCACTGGAGCAGTGGTACCTTCAGCAGTCTCTGATGGAGCGGCCTCAGTGGCTTCAGTAGATACAGACTCGCCTGCAATAGTAGACTTACCTGGAGCATCGGTGACAACTGGAGCCTCAGTCACACCTGGAGCAGAAGACTCAGGACAGATGGAGGTGTAGTAAGTCACGGTACCGTGGACGGTGCTCTCGTGGATGGCAGCAGTCACGGTGGATTCAGCTCCATCCTCATCGGTGGAAACGAAAGTGGTGGTCACTGGTGGAACAGAGGTGACTGTGGTCAACTCACCGTTAGAGTTGGTGGTTTCACAGACAACAACCGTCTTGCTGATAGTCTCGCCGTTGACGTCAGTTGTAACAACTGTGGTGGTCTCACTGGATGGAGAGGCGTCGGTGACGTAATCAGAAGTGGATGTGGTCAACTCACCGTTGGAGTCGGTAGTCTCGCATACAACAACGGTCTTGGTGATGGTTTCTCCGTTGACATCGGTGGTGACAACTGCAGTGGTGTACTCGCTGGATGGAGCGTTATCATAAGCAGACGTCGAAGTTGTCAAGGAGCCCTCAGAGTCGGTTGTCACAACAGCAACACCGGATTCAGTGGTGACACTGCCGTCAGAGCCGGTAGAAGTCCAGGTGGTTGGGTAGCTCGTCAAGGCTGGGGTCTCAGCAGGGTATTCTGAGGTGAACGAGGTCAACTCGCCCTCTGAGTCAGTGGTGACAATAACCACGCCGGAGTCGGTAACAACGTCACCATTATCATCGGTAGTAGTCCAGGTGGTTGGGAAACTGGTCAAGTCTGGAGTACCTTCAGGGAAGGCAGATGTGGTAGTCGTCAACTGGCCGTCAGAGTCAGTAGTGACAATAACTACTCCAGATTCGGTCACGGGGCTGCCGTCGGAGTCCGTAGTCCAAGTGCTGACGTACGAAGTAGGAGCAATGGAGTTAGGGAACTCAGAAGTGGTAGTGGTGAGCGAACCTTCGGAATCGGTGGTGACGATCACGACACCAGACTCAGTAGCAGGGTTTCCGTCAGCATCCGTAGTGGTCCAAGTAGTGGTGTAGTCAGTTGGACCGCCAAAGCCGGAGGTGGTGGTTGTCAAATCACCGTTGGAGTCAGTGGTGACAATCACGACACCGGATTCAGTGGCAGGGTTGCCATTGGCATCGGTGGTAGTCCAAGTGGTAGTGTACTCTGTCTCACCGTCTTGGCCAAACTCTGAAGTGGTGGTGGTCAAGAAACCGTTAGAATCAGTGGTAACGATGACAACGCCAGACTCAGTAACTGGGTCTCCGTTGGAGTCAGTGGTGGTCCACGTTGTAGTGAATTCGGTCTCACCAGCACCTGGGAACTTGGAGGTTGTAGTAGTCAAAGCTCCGTCAGAGTCGGTGGTCACGATAACAACACCAGAATCGGTCTCCACGTTACCATTGGCATCAGTAGTCGTCCAGGTAGTGGTGACATCAGTTTGACCAGGTTGGCCGAATTGCGATGTGGTTGTTGTCAAGGAGCCCTCTGAGTCAGTGGTGACGATAACAACGCCCGATTCAGTGACAGGGTTACCGTTGGCGTCGGTGGAAGTCCAGGTTGTTGTGTACTCGGTTTCACCTTCGCCAGGGAACAACGAAGTAGAGGTAGTCACGGCACCATCAGCATCAGTTGTCACAATGACGACACCAGACTCAGTGACTGGGTTGCCGTTTGAGTCTGTAGTAGTCCAGGTGGTAGTGTAATCAGAATCTTCAGCACCAGCACCAGGGAACTGCGAGGTTGTGGTGGTCAAGGCACCGTCGGAATCGGTAGTAACAATAACCACGCCAGATTCTGTAACAGGATTACCGTTGGAGTCAGTAGTGGTCCATGTGGTAGTGTAATCGGACACTCCAGAGTCTGGGAACTGGGAAGTGGTGGTGGTCAATGACCCATCAGCATCAGTCGTGACGATAACGACTCCAGATTCAGTAGCAGGGTTGCCGTTTGCATCTGTGGTGGTCCAGGTGGTAGTGTAGTCTGTTGCACCAGCAGGGAATTGAGAAGTGGTTGTAGTCAATGAACCATTAGGATCAGTGGTCACAATCACAACACCAGACTCGGTAACAGGGTTGCCATTGGCATCGGTAGTAGTCCAAGTTGTAGTGTACTCAGAATCCTCAGCACCAGGGAATTGGGAGGTGGTAGTGGTCAAAGAACCCTCAGAATCAGTGGTGACGATAACGACGCCGGACTCGGTAACAGGGTTTCCGTTGGCATCTGTGGTGGTCCATGTCGTGGTGACATCTGTAACTCCAGCACCTGGGAACTGAGAGGTGGTGGTAGTGAAGGCACCATCAGAATCAGTTGTAACAATAACCACACCTGATTCAGTCACAGGGTTGCCGTTAGAGTCAGTGGTAGTCCATGTCGTGGTGAAATCCGTAAGGGCTGGGAACTGAGAAGTCGTGGTTGTCAAGGATCCATCAGAATCAGTGGTGACGATCACAACACCAGATTCAGTGACAGGATTTCCGTTAGCATCAGTAGTAGTCCAAGTGGTAGTAACCTCAGTTGCACCGGAGTCTGGGAACTGAGAGGTTGTAGTAGTCAATGCACCATCGGAATCGGTGGTAACGATGACAACACCGGATTCAGTAACTGGGTTTCCGTTAGAGTCAGTGGTGGTCCAGGTAGTAGTAAACTCGGTTGGACCAGACTCAGGGAATTCGGAAGTAGTGGTAGTCAAAGCACCATCAGAATCAGTGGTGACGATCACAACACCAGATTCAGTGACAGGATTTCCGTTAGCATCAGTAGTAGTCCAAGTGGTAGTAACTTCAGTTGCACCGGAGTCTGGGAACTGAGAGGTTGTAGTAGTCAATGCACCATCAGAATCAGTGGTGACGATGACAACACCGGATTCAGTAACTGGGTTACCGTTGGAGTCGGTAGTAGTCCAAGTAGTAGTGAATTCAGTTGGGCCAGATTCTGGGAACTCTGAGGTAGTAGTAGTCAAGGAACCATCAGAGTCGGTGGTGACAATTACAACACCGGACTCGGTGACAGGGTTTCCGTTAGCATCCGTAGTGGTCCAAGTAGTGGTAAACTCAGTTGGACCAGACTCTGGGAACTCTGAGGTAGTGGTAGTCAAAGCACCATCGGAATCAGTAGTGACGATCACAACACCGGATTCGGTAACTGGATTACCATTGCTGTCAGTAGTGGTCCATGTCGTGGTATATTCTGTCTCTGCGACACCTGGGAATTGGGATGTGGAAGTCGTCAAAGCGCCGTTAGAATCGGTTGTGACGATAACCACACCAGACTCGGTTGTTGGGTTACCGTTTGAATCAGTGGTTGTCCATGTAGTGGTGTACTCAGACTCGGCGGCGTCAGGGAACTGAGATGTTGTAGTTGTCAAAGCACCATCAGCATCGGTAGTAACGATCACAACACCTGATTCGGTAGCTGGATTGCCGTTAGCATCAGTAGTAGTCCAAGTAGTGGTGACCTGAGTTGCACCTGAATCAGGGAACTGAGAAGTGGTAGTGGTGAAAGCACCGTCAGAATCAGTGGTAACAATCACGACTCCAGATTCGGTGACTGGGTTACCATTAGCATCGGTGGTGGTCCAGGTGGTGGTGTAGTCAGTAACGTCAGGGTACTGGGAGGTGGTTGTGGCCAAGGATCCATCGGAATCAGTAGTAACGATGACAACACCGGATTCAGTCACTGGATTACCGTCAGCATCCGTTGTGGTCCAAGTAGTAGTGAACTCGGTTGGGACGGACTCAGGGAATTCGGAAGTAGTGGTTGTCAACGAACCTGCGGAATCAGTAGTGACAATTACAACGCCAGACTCGGTAACTGGGTTACCGTTGGAGTCGGTAGTAGTCCAAGTAGTAGTGAATTCAGTTGGGCCGGACTCTGGGAACTCAGAAGTTGTAGTAGTCAAAGCACCATCGGAATCGGTGGTAACGATGACAACGCCAGACTCGGTAACTGGGTTTCCATCAGCATCGGTGGTGGTCCAGGTAGTGGTGAAAGTGGTCAATGGAGCACCAGAGGTGGCAGCGTCAGCATACTGGGAAGTGGTGGTGGACAAGACACCAGCGGAGTCAGTATCAACGATCACCACACCAGATTCAGTAGTAGGGTTTCCATCGGAGTCGGTGGTAGTCCATGTAGTGGTGAAAGTTGTCTCTGCTGCAGCCAAAGTGGAAGTTGTAGTAGTCAAAGATCCATTGTCATCTTCAGTCACTATCACAACACCAGAGTCGGTCACAGGGTCACCGTTTGCGTCAGTAGTAGTCCAGGTCGTGGTGAAAGTGGTGTATGGTGGTGAGATCACAGAAGTGGTGGTTGACAAAGCACCGTCCGAGTCTGTAGTCACAATAACCACCCCAGTGTCAGTCTCTGGGTTGCCGCTGGCATCAGTGGTTGTGAAAGTAGTGGTGAAGGTGGTGTAGCCTGGAATTTCAGAGCTGGAAGCCTCGGCCGAAATAACAGAAGTCGTTGTGGTCAAAGCACCATCGGCATCAGTCGTCACAATCACAACACCGGAATCAGTTTCCTCATCTCCGTTGGAGTCAGTTGTTGTCCAGGTTGTGGTGAACGTGGTGAAAGCCTCTGGAATAACCGAGGTAGAGGTAGTCAACGAACCATTTTCATCTGTAGTGACAACGACAACACCAGATTCAGTCACAGGGTTACCATCAGCATCAGTGGTAGTAAATGTCGTGGTGAAGGTGGTGTAAGGTGGCTCAATTGTGGAAGTTGTAGTTGCGAGAGAACCGTCCGAATTGGTGGTTACAATGACAACACCAGACTCAGTTACTGGGGATCCATTTCCATCATCCGTAGTCCAGGTGGTAGTGAAAGTAGTAAATGGCTCAGGAATAATGGAAGTGCTAGTGGTCAATGATCCATTCTCATCGGTAGTAACAACAACCACACCGCTTTCGGTTTCAGGGTTTCCACTAGCATCAGTGGTAGTGAAAGTAGTAGTGAAAGTGGTGTATGGAGGAGGAATGATCGAGGTAGTTGTGGTCAAAGAGCCATTCTCGTCGGTTGTAACAACCACGACACCAGATTCAGTCTCCGGGTTACCACTAGCATCGGTCGTAGTGAAGGTGGTGGTGAAAGTGGTGTAAGGAGCAGGAATGGTGGAGGTGGTTGTCGAAAGAGCACCGTCGGAATCAGTGGTAACCACAACAACACCTGACTCAGTCACTTCGTTTCCATCGGCATCATCTGTTGTCCATGTGGTGGTGAAGGTGGTGTATGGAGGAGGGATGGTAGAAGTGGTGGTGGACAAAGCACCGTCTGAGTCGGTAGTGACGATGATCACGCCTGAAGCAGTCTCTGGATTACCATCAGCATCCTCCGTAGTCCACGTAGAAGTGAAAGTGGTGAATGGCTGAGGAATGATCGAAGTCGTGGTAGTCAATGAGCCGTTCTCGTCAGTTGTCACAATGACGACACCAGAATCCGTTTCTGGGTTTCCGTCACTATTGGTGGTAGTGAAAGTCGTAGTGAAAGTAGTGAATGGCTGAGGAATGATAGACGTTGTTGTAGTCAAAGCACCCTCGGAATCGGTAGTCACAATGACCACGCCGCTTTCAGTCTCAGGGTTTCCACTTGCATCGGTAGTCGTGAAAGTGGTAGTGAACGTGGTATATGGTGGAGGAATGATTGAAGTGGTTGTAGTCAAGGCTCCATCAGTACCGGTAGTCACAATAACAACACCTGACTCGGTCTCTGGGTTTCCACTGGCATCAGCCGTAGTGAAGGTGGTGGTGAAAGTAGTAAAAGGCTGAGGAATAACTGAAGTAGTCGTGGTCAAAGATCCGTTTTCATCCGTGGTAACAACCACGACACCCGATTCAGTCTCGGGGTTTCCGCTAGCGTCACTAGTGGTAAAGGTTGTCGTGAAGGTGGTGTATGGTGGTGGGATCAAAGAAGTTGTAGTAGTCAAAGCTCCATCAGAACCAGTCGTGACAACCACAACGCCACTTTCAGTTTCAGGGTTACCACTGGCATCAGTAGTTGTGAATGTCGTAGTAAAAGTGGTGTATGGTGGAGGAATCACAGAGGTTGTGGTAGTCAAAGAGCCATTCTCATCGGTAGTGACAATCACAACACCCGATTCAGTTTCTGGGTTACCACTGGCATCGGTCGTAGTAAACGTTGTAGTGAAAGTGGTATATGGTGGTGGGATCACAGACGTAGTGGTGGTTAATGCACCATCAGAACCAGTTGTGACGATCACCACGCCAGATTCGGTCTCTGGGTTTCCACTGGCGTCCGACGTAGTAAAGGTGGTCGTATAAGTGGTGTATGGTGGTGGGATAACAGAGGTGGTTGTCGTCAACGATCCGTTCTCATCCGTAGTTACAACAACCACACCACTCTCAGTCTCTGGGTTACCTTCGGCGTCCGTAGTAGTGAAGGTGGTGGAATAACGGAAGTCGTTGTAGTCAAGGCACCATCAGTACCTGTAGTAACGATGACGACACCCGATTCAGTTTCAGGGTTACCGCTGGCGTCAGTGGTGGTAAAAGTAGTGGTGAAAGTAGTGTATGGTGGAGGGATCACTGAAGTAGTAGTAGTCAAGGATCCGTTCTCATCTGTGGTCACAATCACAACACCGCTTTCGGTCTCTGGGTTACCTTCGGCATCCGTAGTGGTAAAAGTGGTGGTGAAAGTAGTGTATGGTGGTGGAATGACCGAAGTAGTGGTTGTCAACTCACCATCCGTACCTGTAGTAACGATGACGACACCCGACTCAGTTTCTGGGTTTCCGCTGGCATCGGTTGTCGTGAAGGTTGTAGTGAAGGTGGTGTATGGTGGAGGGATAATTGACGTGGTGGTCGTCAAAGATCCGTTTTCATCCGTGGTAACAACCACAACACCCGACTCGGTCTCTGGATTGCCACTAGCGTCAGTGGTGGTGAAGGTGGTAGTGAACGTGGTGTAGGGAGGAGGAATCACCGAAGTAGTGGTGGTCAATGCACCGTCAGTACCAGTAGTCACTACTACAACGCCCGACTCAGTCTCTGGATTACCGTCCGCATCAGTGGTAGTGAATGTGGTGGTAAAGGTGGTGAAAGGCTGAGGAATCAACGAGGTGCTGGTAGTCAACGAACCGTTCTCGTCAGTCGTCACAACCACCACACCACTCTCGGTCTCGGGGTTTCCACTGGCATCTGTTGTAGTAAACGTGGTGGTGAAAGTGGTGTATGGCTGAGGAATGGTGGACGTTGTGGTAGTGAGAGACCCGTTCTCGTCACTAGTCACAATCACTACTCCAGAGTCAGTCTCACTGTCGCCATCAGCGTTCGTGGTGGTCCAGGTGCTTGTGTATGTGGTGTATGGGGGAGGAATGACCGACGTGGTGGTGGTCAAAGCGCCGTCGGAGCCGGTCGTAACAACGACCACACCCGATTCGGTCTCGGGGTTACCGCTAGCATCGGTAGTGGTGAAGGTGGTGGTGTAGGTTGTGTAGGGAGGAGGAATCACTGACGTAGTTGTCGTCAAGGATCCGTCAGAATCCGTAGTGACAATCACAACGCCCGACTCAGTCTCCGGGTTTCCACTTGCATCGGTAGTGGTGAACGTAGTCGTGAAGGTTGTGTAAGGTGGTGGGATCACAGAAGTGGTCGTAGTCAATGCACCATCGGAACCAGTAGTCACGATTACAACACCGCTCTCAGTCTCCGGGTTTCCACTTGCATCGGTGGTAGTGAACGTAGTCGTGAAGGTTGTGTAAGGTGGTGGAATGACTGAAGTAGTCGTAGTCAATGCACCATCGGAACCAGTAGTCACGATTACAACACCGCTCTCAGTCTCCGGGTTTCCACTTGCATCAGTAGTAGTGAAAGTAGTGGTGAACGTGGTATATGGAGGTGGGAACACGGAGGTGGTGGTAGTCAAGGATCCATCAGAGTCGGTAGTGACAATCACAACACCGGACTCGGTCTCGGGGTTTCCGTCGGCGTCCGTCGTGGTCCACGTGGACGTGAACTCCGTGGGTCTGCCAAACTCAGACGTGGTGGTCGTCAAGCTGCCGTCTGCATCAGTAGTAACGATGACAACACCGGATTCAGTAACTGGATTACCATCAGAATCGGTGGTTGTCCACGTGGAGGTGTACTCGGTGGGACCCTCGTAGGGAAACTCGGAGGTCGACGTGGTCAAGGCGCCGTCGGAGTCGGTGGTGACCACAACAACGCCGCTTTCTGTGACGGTGTTGCCGTTGGCATCGGTGGTGGTCCAGGTGGAGGTGAAGCTGGTGTAAGGATCAGGGGAAACGGAGGTGGAGGTGGTCCAGGCGCCGTCCGAGTCGGTCGTCACGACCACAATTCCAGATTCAGTGGAAACGCTGCCGTCAGAAGCAGTAGTGGTCCATGTGGAGGAAAACTCAGAAAAGTCTGGGGTAGTAGCTGAGCTTTCTGGCGCGGTACTTGATGCAGCAGTACTAGAAGCACTGGGGCTGGAAGCAGTCGCACTAGAAGATGTGGATTCTGTGTCAGCAACCGAGCTGGAACTGGAACTGGAAGCAGCAATTGAGCTGGAGCTGGAACTAGCTGGAATTGAGCTAGAGCTGGAGCTAGAAGCAGGAGTCGAACTAGAAGCAGGAGCCGAGCTGGAGGCACTAGAGCTAGAGCTTATCACAGTGGAAGAACTGGAGGAGCTGGGAGCGGTGGACGACGAAGGCAATTCCGTCGTGGTGGGCTCAGGGAAATCCTCACAGTAACAGATCTGCGGAACCGTGCCGGGGTAGGCGCCAGAGTAGGAGATTCGGGTACCAGCGCCGAGAAGACCGTTGGTGGAGAATCCCGAGGACGAGTAGCCAGTACCAATGTTGAAGGCGATCTTGAAGATACCCAAAAAGAAGGAAAGCGTCAAGGTGCTGCCCGAGTAGCTGTACGAGGTGAAACCGGTGCTGACACGGAGACTGTTGCCGTCACCAAAACCCACCACATTGTACGTCTTGGTACCGGTGATACTCTGCGACAAACCAAGCACCGACAATTGCGACGTGTCGGACGAAAGGTAGATGGTCTGGGCACTGGCGACGTTCCAGGGGCTGATGAGAAGCAGAAGCAGCGCATCGTCCATGACGTTGATACATCCGGAACCGCTGATACTGGTGGTTTGCAGCCAGCTCAAACGCTCAAGACAGATGGTACCGTCGTTGGTGATGGAGCCAAGCGTCTGGGAGATGGTCACCGTGGAGGAGGTGCCGGAGCTCTGACTAAGGTAGATTTTACCCGAGTTCAGCCACAGTGTGGCCGAGCCAAGGGTGATGGGAGAAAGCAACGAGTACCCGCTGATACCAAGCCACATGTCTCCGGTGTTGGAGAAGGTGGAGATGGAGTTCAAGTTGTAGGTACTCACGATACTGGATCTCAAGGAGTTGAAGGCGAGGTCTCCGCTGTTTCTGATCAGACCCAGCACGATGGAGACGGACGCAGCCAAACCGTTTGCGGAGGTGACATAGAAACCACCCTGGTTATTCAAGTTTCCCGCAATTACGGTGGCGGCGTTGTTTACGATGGAGTAGTAGACGCCTGGGTTGATTGTGAGCGATCCGATCAGTAAACTGATGGGAGAAACGCTCACCGTGTCTTGTGTGATGGTCAATGCCCATACCGCAGCGAGGTAGTAGGCGGTTGCAAACCACGCACGGAGGCTGAATACTCTCATTGGGGTTGAAGAAAAAAAGGAAATCGGAGAAGGTGGCTGAGGAACAATACTCTATATATTCGGGAAGTGCCGCATGAAAGCGAACTAAGCAGGTGGATTCCCCAAAGGGTTGCTGTGAGGGCCTGGTGAAATACGGCCGGTGGTGAAATGCATAAGCGACATGTGCGCTGCACGGATGTGGCGTACGCGGACGCGCGGCCTGCACACAAGCGCCCTGTTCTACGTACCCCCATGCGCGGCCGATCCTCTGCGGGCTGCTCTTTTGCTGGAATGAGAGGGCATCTACAGGTTGCTGGAGATCTGGTTGGGCTTCCGGCGAGTTTCAGGATATTCGGCGCCAACATGCGTATCACGCCAGAGGACGTGTAAGGCGGGAGAAACAGAGCTCCTGCACGTCCTCGTAAATTTGCAAAGCGAAGCTTCGCGAAACAGCGCTTTTTTTCTGGGGCCCCGCCGGCCCGAGGAAAATGCCATTGTCCTGAGCGGAAGTCCAAGAGTTAGGCCGTGCATGGCGGGCCAAGGGCTTCACTGATTTTTCTTCCATTTTTTGCAACGGTTAGTAATCTCACCTGAAAGGCGCAATTGCCCTCTCCACAGCTTGGTACCTCCCCGTCCAGCCATGTTTGCTTTCTAGATAACTCGCCTTACATGATCGCTACGGTATAGGTGTGTGCATGCCGTGGATTAGTCAAGCACCTGGTGACCTCGAGCAGGATTTCCCAAACCATCCCAGGCAGTCCAGTGCAGCCGCAGCCACCTTCCATTTTCGATTCCTTTTTTTTTTTTTAGTTTCCTGCGACCCAAGCAACGGTTGCCAGCTGTGGCCAGTTGCAGAAACGAGAAAGCAGGCAACTCACCCTCGTTTTACCGAACTACATACGCTTGGCGTCAAAGTCCACAGGTCGGAGTCGTGGAGGGTGGTTCCGGTTTTAATCATTTTTTTAATCTGAGCGAAGAAGAATCTGCGATCTGCGCTTGGGGTGACATGCTGATCGAACAGAACGAGGCACATTGGAATGGGCGTCCCAGCCTGACAAACCCGACGGAACTTGGCCTGGTGGTTTCTCCGTCACCGCTTCCAAGCTTTTCCAACCACTTTTTTGCTCTCGCAATCATCAACTTGACTCGCCAGCTTTTGCATGCGTTATTTACCCACGCAGCCACGCTCCAGCAGCCATGCACTGGAGCCGCTTTAGTCCACTCCAAGACACTGCGGTGTGAGACTCGGATGCCGCTGCTTTCTGGGATTCGCCATCTTTTCGATCCGGCCCGCTGCGTCTCGGTCTAAAGCCTCGCTTGGAGCATGCCGCCTCGCTTGGCCAGCCGAGGAGCAACTTTTAACCCTCGGACGGCTCTGGAAAGGGGCCCCACAGGCCTCGATGGAGTAGGGGTGGTGCATTTCCGAAACACCCTGGCCACCGTTGGCTGCACAGAAGCACTAAGCGAGATGACAGGTGTTTACGGAAACTTGCAAACACTTTGGACAAATCTGTTGTAACTTTAAGGTTTTCCAGGCCCCTGACCACAAAGCAAGCTTCGGCCACAAAACAGCGTTCGAATGCTGCACCAGGCTTCTTCTCGCGCGCCTCCATGCACTGGGGCAGTTTCCAGAAACGCATCTCGCCCTTTTTTTTTTTTTTGGACTGTCTCGCAAACGCCTCGACAAGCGTTCCAATCAGGCAGCGTTATCTGGGCGTTCTCCTTGTGGCGGCACGCTGACTAAGCGGGGGGCCTGAACGTCCATCCACGATTCCCAACTCCCCAATTCCTCTCAATTCCTTCTACGCATCTTTTTCCACGCCAAAAGCCCCCCACTGGCTTGGCGGCGATCGCAGCCTGGAGGTAATTTTTTCGTGCTGATCACTGCGCTTTGGCAGCCCGGTGGAAAAAATATACTGCCACTGAAACTGAGGCCTCGCCAGGTGCATGTTCCTCTAACGCCGCAGAATCTCTAAGAACTTGGCCATCTGGAGAAACCTGGGGATCGTCAGTCGTCAATAACGGAGATTGCAATTGCCGGAAGTTGCAAGTGCCGAAAATTGCCAATCGCTCTTAGCCCGGCTAAGCCGACCTCTGCTCCGATCGGTGCGAGTGGTTTTTTCAACCAGCCCATCTCTGGAATGCCTCTACTTCATGACCTGCCGCATCGCTATGCTACTTTGGGACGGAGCCGTGGATGGCTCGGACCATCCCGTCGGCATTACGAGCAGTGGCTTCGGCTTTTGGAGTGAAACGGCTGGCCTCTGCTGGCCTGGTGGCCATACCCACCCCCAAGTTCTCCTTTTCTCGGTACTGTCTGCTCATTTTTTTTCTTTCTTTCTTTCTCGATTGTGGCTCGTGGCCCTGCGTTGGATTCACCCGATTCACCTTTCTTCCTCCCCGTGGCTTCTACTATTTTTGATGGTGCTCGTAAATTGCATTTTCTGTTCCGCTCGCGTTTTTGCACCCATTTCTCAGAACCCTCGCGCATCTAGCGATTTCTAGAAACCTGAGCAAAAGGCTGATTTGGAAAAAGTAAAAAAGAGAAACGTTGGAGAAGTCGAAAACTTTTACAAAAACAAGAAACAAAACAAAAAAAAGAAACAAAAGACAAAACCTCTGTCTAATTCAACGTGACAGCTACAAGAACTCACCCATTCCAGAACCGATGAAACGAATGCCCATTTCACATTCCGTGGAATTAACTTCCACCCAGAACAATGCAAAGGACTTTCCGTGCATACATTGTCTTTTCCGTTCGTATTGTCAACGTCAAAGCCCTTCTCAGCGCATCGAGACCATCAGTTGACGTATCATCCGCGGATAAATCTAAATAGCCAGATCTCATGGCCTAGGCGGAGCAGGGTGGTGTTTCATTTCTGGCCCATGCGCTTCTGATGACGTTGCAGTAGTTCTGCAGTAACAGTCACAGTGCCTCGAATGGCCTATTGTTGGACCGAACAGCATGCACGGCATACATGTATTGCAGCGGGCCAATTCCACCTGAAACACGTCCAGAGGGTCCCTTTTCAATACTTGTCTCAGTGGTGTGGCGTTGATATTATTGTCTCAAAAATCACTGTTTTGCATTTGTCTTTCGGAGATCCAAAATGATGGGCTTCGATCTACACACCTATATTTAGCCCCACGGAATCTGGGCACCAATCAAGAAAAGCAATTCAGTACCTGTGGGGTCGAAGGATTATGAGCTTTCACCTGTTACCATGGCGATAAAGAGCCAAAGCGAGGGATCTCATGTTGAATCTATTGTGGCTTTTGCAGGTATAGCCGATTGTTGCAGTGGAGGTTTACAAGGCATGTGCTGAGCTGAATTTGCAACCAGGCCGTTTGATAGATCCATGGAAATTCCTTGCTTTACACAGATTTGGGCAACGGTACCAAAATATGGCACCGAGGACGAATATTTCTATTACATGTGCTACTGCTGGATTTCACAAAATTTAAAAGTGCAATGTGCCCGGTAAGATTAGTGACTCGGTGAAGAGCGGGCTTTTGAGGTAAGAAAGCAGCATAATATCATTCACCAACTCTTCCTCCTTGAAAGTGGATGCCATATTATGTCGTGATAGATTCCACCGAATAGCTTGGAACTAAGCAGCAGAACCAAGAAAATCGACAAGCATGAACACGATTGCCCAAATGCCAACCTAGCGTTTTGAGCTTTCTTAGGTATTGCGTGAAAAATCGTATCTGCATGAATATTGTCTCATAAGCACAAAAAACACGCCATCACTCACCATCGCTTGAACTTTATGAGGCTAGCCCAGGATGAGAACCGGCTGGTTTAGAGTAGGTGATAGATCACCAAAGATGAATTGATGGACCCATATTAGATTATCAAAAGCAGATTAGACTTGAAAGTTTTCGAGAGATCTTTGATAGGAACTTTGCACAGTTTACCGTTCATTTTTCTCGTTTTATGAGAAGTGCAATTTAATTTAGGGCGCTATGAACAGCCAATTAGGGTCCAAGGGTCTGTCTAGTGGGTAATATCCTTGATTGGTCTCTTTCTCATGAAAAAGTACTTCGCTTTTTTCCAGTTGCATATTTGATAAATTGTCTCCTTTGTCTTTATGGGAGTGTGGAGTCTCAATACCAAGAGAGACGAGTGTTATCGAGTATCATGGTCAGGATAACTAATTGGAATTTACAGAAGTCTCCCTTTGACCAAAAGTGATAAAGCTTTGAATCCAATGACTGCAGCTGAATTATGAATTAAAAAGTTCCAATTAGGATACAAGAAATAAGAAAACACTGCACCTTATATGGTCTTCGATAAGAGCTTTTAAGAGAGCTAACCTATTCTTTTCAAAAATACATTTCCCAGCTTACCTTCCTGTTTTCGGAAATAGTGGTTGGAGCCAACAAATTATGCTGGCTGACATGTGCCAAAACCTCGAGAAAACGGATATAGGTAGAGCCACAGCAAGCCACAGCTAAAAATTGACGCCATCTCCCAGGTGTGAATGAAATGAGATTGAATCATCAAAATCATCGAGTCTGAAAATCTCCCCTTTTTTACGCATAAGGCTGTCAGAACCCTCGACACCCCCCAAGGTGTAAAGTACTTTAACCGCGGTGCATTATCAAAAGTATTTTATATACCAATTTTGCCGCCGAACTTCGCTTATATCACAATACACCAGTCATTAGGTAAAGTTGCCACGCCCCGCCTCGTGTGCCAAAAAAAAAAAACGCTGCCTTTCTCCTTCGAGCATTTTTTGATACCTTTGACTAACTTTTTTTGATTACGCCGCTATACCAAATTCAAACATGCAACCCTCTGAAGGGCGATCATATCTAGCTTCCAAAGTATGAAATATTGAAGAACTAGTGAATGGTTTACTAATTGAGGCAAGCTGCCTTTGGCGACTATGACGATTATGAAGACTCTTAAACGCTAAACCAAAGAATAACGATGTTCAGAATGAGGTTGAGTCCCTTCCAGGATCGTCCATCAGTGACCACATCTGAGGTTTGAGGGCTTACAAATGAGGAGAGGCTTCAATTGCCCAATATTACTACGTATCAGGTGAATTAGGTTTCATAAGAACAATCAAACACAGTCATGAAAGACAAAGTATCAATAAGGCTCTTGTGTCGTTATATATAATGTGATAAGAGTTGCAATAGGACTACCTAACGCTGATTTACTCTCAGGATATGAATGAAACGTCGAATTTTAATCGAGATACTATGTCCATTGTGAAGAATATACCACTATCCTCTCTATCCTATTATAGATTCTTTGAAATGGCCAACCGATTTTTTAGCATAACCTTATGGGGTGACCTCTTGATTGTCCTCATCGCTCAAGTCGTCTAGTTCAAAGTTGTCGACGTCGTTGGCAGAAATGTTTGCATAACCATCAAATTTCGTGAGCTCGCCGTTCTCATCGTAACCAACGAGTCTCAAGTACAATGTTAGAAGCATCTGCATCCACAAATAGATCAAGAATCCAGCACCGCTAACCACCAAAATGTAGGACGAGTGGTCGGCACCGAGATCATGGACGAGATTGAGCTGCTCCTCGTTGGCCGACATAAAAAGAATCCCCGAAAGCACCAAACTGAAGGGAGGAATGTGCTGGAACGCAAGAATACTCCCTGTGTCGCTTGCACCATTGTCTTTAAGCAAAAAGCAGATCTCTATAATTCTCGACAATCCGCCCGACATGAGCACAAGACCAAAGAGAGCATGCACTTTTGTAGAGATCACCAAATGCTGCGAGTGTTCAGACATGGCCCACCCGGTGTAGATCAAGAGCAAAGCAGGGACGACGGATCTTGTGTTGTTTTTACGAGAAAGCCACATGCCTAGAAGACCACCACACCACCAGATGATTCCCATGGAGGTGTGCTGGTAGTCGCCGTGATTCCACTCCTCTCTTCCCCACCTGTGCTCTGTGAAAGTGTTCACAATACCCCAAAGGCACATGATTGAGGAGTCGTAGAATTCCTGACTTTTGACGTTGGGATCACCATTGAGCCTGCGGTGGTTTCTGATCCACGGCACCATAAGCACCCATGCCAATACGAAGCCGTATAGAATGAAGGACGACCCCATTATGCCGTGTGCAATACACTGACCCGTGGCCTTACCGTAGCAAAACCCGAAAAGGGCCACGGGAGCCATACAAACACGTACCCAACCGGTCAATGTAGATGTAAAAGCCAAAGTCTTGTAGGCACGAATGGCCACTCTGGATGGGGTCAGATAAGCCGTTTCAGCCTTCTGTGGCCAGAACTTGTTCATCACAATGTTGGAGCCATTGATCAAAGTTCCAAGAAACACGGTCACACCAAGCTCCCAGGTCAAAAACCACCCTGTACCTTTGGAAGTTCTGTTCTCATGGTTGTCCACATTATCGGGAAACTCCAAGAACAACGACTCAAAAAGCGAATATGCAAAAGCAACGATGTGAAGCACCGAAGCCAAGTGGAAAACCTCGGCAAAAGCCAAAACCGAAGAGATGGACGGGAGGATCAAGAGCAAGAACAAGGTGAGGATCCAATGGAACGTTTTGGAGCCGGCATTGACCGGGTGGAACTCCACCTTCTCACCCATATCCATGTCCATGCCATCTGCCACAACTAATGCTGTGACAAGCAAGAAGGCAACGGATTTCTTAACATAAGACATTGGTGTTCTTTGGTTAAGTGGTAGGATTGAAAACCGAGCCTCCGAGATGTAAGGGTGTGGGTCCGACTCGGTTACGAATAGAACTTTTGAAAAGCAAGAGAAAGAAAGACATGTTTCGAAGTGGCAATAAATCAGGTGATTTGATTTCGGATGCTGATTTATTGGTTTGAGTTTGAAAGTTGAGTTTAGGCAGGCGCGTGCTCTTTAGTGAAGAAATAGCGTTCCATACCTCCTTGCGGTACAGTAAGTAGTAGAAAGATGCCCACAAAGTAGAATAAGATAGCAGCAGATTTCAAGAATAAGATAAAAGTGTGAAAAACGAGAAATTATGGAAACTTTACCGCTTGTCGGAAAGCATTCCAAGGTCGACAGCTGCATCTGGTGCTTTTTACACACGAGGCGTTGGTCGAGTTACAAAATCGCCAGGCCATGAAAGTCAAAATAATTTGCCCACTTTTGATGACACAAAAAATTTCCCCACTCAAAAACAAGCGAATCAGAAAATGGTCTCAAATGTATCGAGTGGCTCGTGCGGCGCTATCATTGGGCGACTATGAGGCTTAGAAGGCGATAAGGAAAATCCATGAGTCGCTAAAAGAACCTCACATACGAAGTAGAAAAAAGAAATTTCATGGTCGGGAAATCTACAAACCATGACACCACGAACATGCCGATAAGACAAGTGTTGCTTTTTCCCCACCTGTAGACCATGCTTACAGCGAAATAGCAAACAGAGAAATCACCATTTTGTGAGCAATTAGCAAATCATCGACAAGATCGCCTTTTATTTCGATAGACCCGATGGCATATTAGCCCGTCCGCCAGCAAGGCAATCTTGCCGATTGAGAAATTTATTTGACCATGAAACTCCACAAAAGGCTTTTCAGTAAATTCGTTGGCGAAAAAGAAACTTTATTTCAAAGAAGTAGTCCAGTAAATTCCGTCAAAGCTTAAAGTAATAATACTTTGCAGTGTCGGCCTGAATGGAATAACCCCTAAGGCACCCTTGGAGCCGTGCTACCAGAGGCATGCAGCCATATGATCTTATCAGGGCGCCATTTGGGCGATTGCACCAATGGCTGTTTTTGGCGTTTACGTCAAATGTGACTTAGTAGCCGGAAAAGGCGGACTGGTGCTTGTAATTAAGTTATGATGCGTCTGATAAAGCCTCCTTTTCGGTTCGATAGAAAGCGTACAGAAACAAAAGAGACTAAGGAGAGAACAACTACCTTCAGTGTTAGGTGAATTTTATAGCTTATCAATGAATACCAGTCATTGTTCGGTGCGTTTTTGACATATTATTCGAGGGCTTGGCGACAAGACGACCTCGCATATGACAGGTTATGGACCCTCTGATAAGACTCGCGGCTATAGTTACCGCTGATGCCGCTGAAGTCTTATTTTTTTTTCTGGGCGTCTACCGAATAGGACTTTTGTGTAACTTTTCCACCCAAGAAAATATTTTGACAGGTTTTTTTCTAGAGTAAGGGTCCTCGTTTGGCTTCTGTTGTTTGATATCCTCTGATTTGCACCCATTGAAAATCACATACTACTAATCTCGTTCTCGAGGATTCATGATCTTATCGGAATTACAATTCCATAACCGCACGGGCGCTAGAATGAAACTGCATCGTGATAATTCCGAAGGGCTTTCTGGTGATGCAACTCGTGGTATTTAGCCGCCTTTGCATTCTTCCACGTCTCAGTCATGGTGATTATCAGCCATGCAGATTTGCAACCGCTGCTATTCGATCTGGTAGCTGTCTTGGCGAACAAGATCCATTCTAAACGAATTGGGAAAGCTGGTGCCCAGAATATTTGACATTCAGGCAAAATCTGACGACTCCAACGTTCATTTCTGTTCCAACTATCACGTAGAGACTTTGTTCTCATATTCGAGCCGGCTCATGCGGAGTTCGACGGGGTCTGTGAAATGTAGCTGATAACAAACGCCTTAGCGGCCGTTCACGCTTATCTGATACAGCGTTTGCTGTAGACGATAAATAGCACCTTTCTAGCCCATCATTTCCAACGTAGACCAATTCACATTATGGCAGAGAAACTCAATGCTCTTGCCAGCATTAGAAGCGGTGGAATGGACAATGCCCAAGACCATGAAGCCGATCTTAACGCCATCACTTCTAACCCATTATCCATGGGAGATGTGGCTGAGAACTTCACCACCGACCAAAAATTCTATATCTTGAAGCGTCTTGGTTACAACCATCTCAATGATCTTGATGACTTGCCTCCAGAGGCGGTTTTTATGTTGGAGAAGATTGCAAGTTTGGACATCAATGAAGCTGTTGAGATTCTCAAGGAGTCCGTTGATGAATTTGATGGAGATTTGAACGTCGAACAAGACACGTTTGAGCTCATGGAACATTTGCTTGCCTTTCACAATGACGGCAGAGTCCCTACTACCAAGGAAAAGCTCAGTCAAAACTTTGATAAATCCGACTTGAAGCAAACAGAATACTCTCTCGACGAGAGCTCCGACAACTTTTCAGAAGGAGGTGAAATCTTTGACTGGGAGTTGCAGACCAAAACTGAGGCTGGTATCATTGGTTTTTGGTCTATCTATCCTGAGGTCAGATCGGTTACACAGCCATTCGATGACCCATCTATCCCTTGCGAAACCTTTCGTGTCTATTTCTTGGGTCTCATCTGGACTATCATCGGGTCCTTTGTTATTCAATTCTTTTCCGAGAGACAGCCTAAAATCACTTTAGATACCTCCGTTGTCCAGCTTTTCCTCTTTCCATGCGGAAAACTCATGGAATATGTGCTCCCTGCTTGGGACATCAAGATCTGGAAATGGAAATTCAATTTGAACCCTGGTCCATGGAGCAACAAGGAGCAAATGTTGGCTACCCTTTGTTATTCTGTCAGTGTCGGTGCCATCTATGTCTCCTGGAATTTACACAATCTTATGTTGGACAATTACTATGGTGTCAAATGGGTCGATTTCGGATATCAAGTCCTTTTGACCTTAGCAACTAATTTTATGGGCTTTGGTTTCGCTGGTCTTATCAGAAAGTTTGTCATTTACCCTGTCAACTGTATCTGGCCTAGTATCTTGCCAACGATTGCACTTAACAGAGCGTTGTGTCAGCCAGAGAAGAAGAGTAAGATCAACGGTTGGACCATCTCCAGTTTTATGTTCTTCATGGCCACGTTCTGGGGCTCTTTCATCTGGTTCTGGGTCCCAGACTATTTGTTTACAGCGCTCAGTACCTTCAATTGGCTCACTTGGATTGCTCCTAACAATTTCAACTTGGCTGTCGTTACAGGCTATCAAAGCGGTTTGGGAATCAATCCAGTTCCCACTTTCGACTGGAACATCTTGAATTTCAACCTTCCATTGAACATTCCATTCTTCAGTTATATCAACAATTACATCGGTATGGTTATCGCTATGTTCTGTATCGTTGGTGTTTGGTTTTCCAACTACAAGTGGACTGGGTACCTCCCAATTAACTCAAACTCCTTGTTCACCAATACTGGAGAACGGTACCACGTTACTGCTATTTTGAATGAGAACTCACTTCTCGATGAAGAGAAGTACCAAAAGGTCGGTCCCCCATTTTACTCGGCTGCGAATCTTGTTGTTTATGGAGCATTCTTCGCTCTCTATCCATTCACAGTGTTCTATACGTTTATCATGCACTTCAAGCAGATCAAACACGCGGGTAAGGGCTTTGTAAAAATGTTCAAGCTGTGGAAAACCTCAACCTACGAGGGCTTCAATGATCCATTCAGCAGATGCATGACAAGATACAAGGAGGTTCCGGAGTGGTGCTTCCTCGTCGTTTTGGTTATTTCCGTGGTGCTTGCCATTTTAGCTGCAAAGCTTTACCCATCTGATGCACCCGTGTGGACCATTTTCTTCGCTTTGGGTATTAATTTCGTGTTCTTGGTCCCACTTTGTATCATTTACGCAACCACAGGAAGCTCTTTTGGACTTAATGTGCTTGTCGAACTTATTGTTGGTTATGCTATGCCAGGTAATGGTTTGGGTTTGAACTTCGTGAAGGCTTTGGGTTACGTCATTGATGGACAGGCTGAAAACTACGTCGGCAACCAAAAGCAAGCTCATTACTTGAAAATTGCTCCAAGAGCGCTTTTCCGTATTCAAATGATTTCGGTGTTTGTTCACTGTTTTGTCGCTTTGGGAACGTTCAACTTGCAAATTAAAACCATTGAAAATTACTGCAGTCCCAAGCAGGCCCAAAAGTTCACCTGTCCTTCGGCTACCACATTTTACTCTGCTTCTGTGTTGTGGGGTGTTATTGGTCCAAAGAAGGTTTTTGGTGGCCTTTATCCAGTATTGCAGTGGTGCTTCCTCATTGGTTTCTTGTTGGTTTTCCCATGCGTCTTGCTTAAAAAGTACTTCAAAAATTACAAGGTTGTCAGGTACTTCCATCCAGTTCTTATTATCATGGGTTTCCTCCAATGGGCTCCTTACAACTTATCCTACTTCACTGGCGGATTGTACTTGTCCATTGCCTTCATGTACTACCTCAGAAATAAGAAACAGGCATGGTGGACCAAGTATAACTATATTCTTTCCGGTGGTTTGAGTGGTGGTGTTGCCTTTTCCGGTATTATTATTTTCTTTGCTGTGCAATACCACCCCAAGTACATTGACTGGTGGGGAAACAATGTCAACGACCTGGGTCTTGATGCTATCGGACCTTCAAGATTGAATGTCACCTTGGATGCACCAGATGGTTACTTTGGCCCAAGAATTGGCAATTTCCCATAAACGCTGCTCTTATAGAATGCCTATGACGATGCTCTCATGAGCCTAATAATAAAAAATGAAACTCGTCGTCAGCGAATATTTTGTAGACGGAAGACCCTTTTAAGCTTTAACCCCACTGAAAGATAAGATAAATCCTCGGAATGATAATGCACGGCTTCGTTCTCCACAGTTAAAATGGCAACTTTTTGAGCCCTCGGTGTGTCTTGGCATACAGTGCCGAAGGGAACAATAGCAGGTGACAAGATGCTGCATGGCCTAAGCCAATAGTGAGTGCGTCAAACAAAAGCATGTCTCATAAAGTTAGGCTGGATTACACCTGGGGTATTTTCGACCCATGTATTTTTAAACACATAAGCGGAAAAAAGCATTGTCATCTTGAAACAAAAATGGTTATTTCCCTCAACTTGCGCTTTGAAAGCGTGGATATTTGACACGCAACCGAAGTCTTGGCACGTCAGCCTCAAGAGCCGTACAACCCGGTGTACCCTGATAACACACGGTTTTGTGGTGGTCACAAATATCAGGATATTTTGAGGACGAAAGTCTTGGCGGTGCTTTTCGATTGGTTAGATTGCCTGAAAGATTTGAACGCCTTATGAGTTTCTTGGGGTTTAGGGACCCTGACAATAGATGATACGCCACACTTACGGTGTAATGAAAATCTCCAGAGAAAGCTGATTTCGAGCATTGTTGAAGCCTCTACTCTGGATTTCAACTCATGGGGTGCAACCACACATGAACAATGCCGCCACATGTCATGGAATTGCAGTTCCACAGTCCTGTTTCAAGAATACGCAGAGCTTGTAAAACGTACGTAGAGCTGATGTAGTTGATTACTTTTCGAGGTGATGCATAGGATAATCTGGCTAAATCTCACAGCTTCAGCCGTGCGATTGAAGATGGTGTTACAGCATAAAAAGCACAGAGAAATCGTAGAAATGTCAAAATCGAGTTTTCCCTTGTCAAGGAGATTTCACTCCAGCCTCGTTTCTGAACGGCTGCAACCCAGCTTGCCCCACTTTCTTCCAAGAAAATTGATAACGCTGTGGCGCTTAACCGGGAAAGGCTTGAAGGAATCCACGAGAGATAAGAAACGCCCCGACCTTGTTCTCCTTCCACAGGAGCACATGTAGACTATAAAACCAGGCGTCATGGCCATTTTCTTGAAACATCACCAATGACTGAAAAGGTTGACGCTCATGTGAGTGTCGTCAGTAGTGGAAGATTGGCACCTGAAAGCCACCAGTTCGACTTGAATGCGGTCATGTCAAAGGCTGTTTCTCTTGGAGATGTTGCGGAGCAGTTTTCATCAGACCAAAAGTTTTATATTTTGCAGCAGCTAGGCTACGAGCATCTCGAATCCTTTGAGGACCTTCCAGTCAACGCCACTTACATGTTGGAGAAGATCGCCTCTTTAAGCACAGAAGAAGCAGTGGAGATCATCAACGAGGCGCTTGACCAGCACGACGGAGACTTGAACCTTAGCATGGCTAGGTTGGACTTCATGAAAGCTCTCGTGGACTACAACACGGCTGGAAGAGTCTCCACATCCAAAAAGAGAGGCCTGACTGAAGAAAAGACCGAGATCCAGCAAACCGTGGAATCCTTGGATGAAGTTTCCACTGACGCTTCTGGAACCTTCAACAAGGCAGACCCTTTTGCCATTTTTGACTGGGATCTCCAAATCAAGACGCAGGCCGGTATCATTGCCTTCTGGTCGATCTACCCTGAGGTGAGATCTGTAGCCCAGCCTTTCGACGACCAAGTGCCTTGCGAGACTTTCCGTGTCTATGTACTCGGTCTTTTGTGGACTGTCATTGGATCCTTCATTAACCAGTTCTTCACCGAGAGAATGCCCAGTATCAGTTTGTCGACCGCTGTGGTGCAGCTTTGTATGTTTCCTTGTGGTAAGCTTTTGGAATTGATCCTCCCCGCCTGGGACGTGAAAATCTGGAAGTGGAAGTTCAATTTGAATCCTGGACCATGGAGTGCCAAAGAGCAGATGTTGGCCACTCTTACATACTCTGTCAGTGGTGGCACGATTTATGTCTCCTACAACCTTCACAATCTCCAGTTGGACAAGTTTTACGGTGTCAAGTGGGTCGATTTCGGATACCAGATTATTTTGACCCTCAGTACCAGTTTTATGGGTTTCGGGTTAGCCGGTATTGTCAGGAAGTTCGTTGTGTATCCTGTCAACTGTCTCTGGCCAAGTATCTTGCCTACAGTCGCCCTTAACAGAGCCTTGTGTCAACCAGAAAAGAAGAGTAATATCAGCGGCTGGAAGATTTCCAGTTTTTCCTTCTTCTTGATTGTCACCGCCGGATCTTTCCTTTACTTCTGGATCCCCAACTTCTTGTTCACGGCGCTCTCCAAGTTTAACTGGATTACATGGATTGCTCCTAACAACTTCAATTTGGCTGCCATCACCGGATCTCAATCCGGTTTGGGTCTCAATCCCATCACTACTTTCGACTTCAACATCATTCTTTACAGCTCCCCTCTTGCCCTTCCGTTCTTCACAACCTTGAACTACTACATTGGAGCTGTGATTGGCATGTTCTGCATTATTGGTATCTGGTGGACAAACTACAAGTGGACGGGCTATCTTCCAATCAACTCGAATGCTTTGTTCACACGTACTGGAGAGAGGTACGCTGTGACGTCTATTTTGAACGACGAGTACCTCTTGGACAACGAGAAGTACCAAAAAGTCGGTCCTCCATTTTACACAGCTGCACAGCTTGTTTCTTACGGCGCTTTCTTTGCCTTGTATCCATTCACCGTTTTCTACATTGGCGCCACAAACTTCAAACAGCTCGTATTTGCAACCAAGGGGTTCTTGAAAATGTTCAAGCTCAAGAGAGCCTCCACTTACGATGGTTACAACGACAACTTCAGCAGATCGATGGCTAAATACAAGGAGGTGCCGGAGTGGTGGTTCACGATTATCTTGGTAATTTCCTTGGTGCTTGCCATCTTAGCCGCCAAAATCTACCCATCCCAGGCCCCAGTGTGGTCGATTTTCTTTGCCTTGGGTATCAACTTTGTATTCTTGATCCCCATCTGTATCTTCTACGCACAGACCGGCTACTCCTTTGGCCTTAACGTTTTGGTGGAGTTGATTTACGGTTACGCCAACCCTGGAAATGGCTTGGGTCTTAACTTCGTCAAGGCCTACGGTTATGTCATTGATGGCCAGGCCGAGAACTACATCACCAACCAGAAACAGGCACACTACATGAGAATCCCACCCAGATCGCTTTTCCGTCTCCAGATGATCTCCGTTTTCATCCACTGCCTTGTGCAGTTGGGCACCTTCAACTTGCAAATCAACACCATCGAGGACTACTGTGATCCTAGACAGTCACAGAACTTCAGCTGTCCTCTGTCGAGAACCTTCTATTCTGCTTCTATTCTCTGGGGTGTGATTGGACCCAAAAAGGTGTTTGGCGGGCTCTATCCCGTTTTGCAGTGGTGCTTCTTGATCGGCTTTTTGTTGGTCATTCCATGTGTGTTGTTGAAGAAGTACTTCAACAGAAACAGCTTTGTCAAGTACTTCCACCCTGTGCTTGTCATCCAGGGCTTCATCTTGTGGGCTCCTTACAACTTGTCTTACATCACACCAGGCCTTTACGTGAGTTGGACATTCATGTCGTACATCAAGCGCCGGTACGAGGCCTGGTGGGCCAAGTACAATTACATTCTTGCTGGTGGGTTGACCGCAGGTATCGCCTTTTCCAGTATCATCATTTTCTTTGCCCTTCAGTACCACTCCAAGCTGGTGGTGTGGTGGGGTAACACTGTGAATAAGCAAGGTCTCGATTACATTGGACCTGCCCGTTTGAACGCCACTCTTGAGGCACCCGAGGGTTATTTTGGACCTCGTGTGGGCAACTTCCCATGATTGTAATGAATATGATAACGTATAGCAGAAAGGGAGCAGTAGGATGAGTGATTTCGTAAACAGTGTCGGTTTGGGAACACAATAGGTCGCTTAAGCCACAAAGCTGGGTTTTGTTCGGGATGGAGTGATGGATCTCCGATTGCAGTGGGATTCATCAATAGTGACGAAGAAGGGGTATTGGGTTGATGCACTGTTCCTGAACCAATGGCCTCGTATCCACATTTTGTGTTTTTAGTTATGAGACGCTTTTAATGATGATTGCTGTACGAATGGTAAGAGCCTCGGGGTGACTTGATACACTTTTGGGTCACTTCCTGCTCTCCCACCTTGTCATTTTGAGAGTCATTTTCCGAATTCACAAATATACCATTCCACCACCTTTAGCTAGACAGCCATCTGTAGAAGATTCCGCTCGCCGAGTCCGGATATGCAAAGAAGGGTATAATTCGTGATGGACGTTGATGGGGTTAAGTTGGCAGCCGTGCCTCAAACGCCGTTGCAGTGCTCCACGGGAGTGTGATGAGTCAGATACAAGCATGCTTTCGATGAAGTCCAATTTAATGGAAGTATTACTGCTGGAAAAAACTGCCCGTTGTGTCAAACCCGGCGGTCGCTTGACCTGTCAAATGATATCAGGTCGCAGCCTAGCACATATCGCAGATATAGCAAGTCAACCCAGTACAAGTCAAAACATTTAGGTGAGCCCAAATAAGGTCAACTCCATATACTCCATATAAGTCGACTCCATTCAGCCAAATTGAATTATTTCTAGTCGGTTTATGGAAATCTCACAAAAAACCAGAATATATCCAACCGCACCAGGAACATCCACCAAGCATCAGCAGCCAATGCCGATCCCCGATAACGAAACCCACAGGGAACCCACAGGGACCGGCACTTTTGTGACCCATGTCCCGAGACAGCATGCGGCGTGAACGGAACAATAGCGTTTCCATGGTCAAACAACGGAATTGCGTTCCCCAGACTCTTTGTTCCAGGCTCTTTGTTCAGATCACCCTTTGTTCCCACTCTTCAACTGAGCGCTTAAACACACCTCCTACCGATGGACCGAGTCCCCTCCAAGTCCGATTCCCCACCCAGGGGATCCCCTTTTGCAAGCACCTTGTCGCGGTTGCAGCCAAAATGTCTCCTCTCGAAAGCCATGGAAGCGAATGGCCCAAGCCTAAAACACGCCACGAGCCGCACCTCTCCAAAGCCTAATCGACCCCGAACCGCCAGTATCGAACTCCCTGATTCAGTCCAGTTGCTCAATGCACTTCCCCACAGAAAACCGACATAGCCGCGTGGCAGCACAAAAAAAATCATGGCCATAGGCTGTCATGAAATTGATAAACGCCGCATCCACCTCACCGGTACCGGGATCGTCAAGGCCACTAACCAGACGGATGTTTTTGGAGAGTGCGACTGCCGGAAAAAAGCACAAATAAACCTAAATGCCCATGCCCCGCCCGCCAAGCGAAGGCTAAACCCTTGACACCTGTCAACCCGCCAGCCCGGCCTTGGCGGCTAGTAGTACTCTAGTTTTTTCCATCTCCACATTCCTGCCGCTCAGATAGATAAGCGGGTATATGCGGCTCATTGCCGTACGTGTGGAAGGCTGTCTCTACGGCATTGTGCCGTGGCTGGGATCGACAGGCGGCAGTGGAAGCCAGTCACAAGAGGGCTTTTCTAATCTGCGGCTGCGATAGAGAAGCGACGAGGTGGTGATAGATGGATAAAGCCAAAATTTTCAAACAACATTCAGCGAGGGCTTTATAAACCAATATAAATCAACTGCCATTTTTTTTTTAACTTGTATCCTCCACTCACAGGCTCGTCACTGATAGGTGCTCTCACAGCTCGGTTATGCGCGTCACCTGGTGCATGCGAGTTGCGTGCTGCAACATGGAATGGCCCAAGAGCTCGTGAGTCAACGAAATTCGTATAAATACCACAAGGGTCGTCCGATTTTTCTGACGGCCCATCCATGGCAGAAAAAGTAAATCCCATCACCAGCGTTACCAGCGCAGGCAACAGGCTCGACGCCGCAGACCACGAGCTTGATCTCAATGCCGTCACCTCCAACCCACTCTCTCTAGGCGATGTGGCAGCAGGCCTCACGCTGGACCAGAAATTCTATATTTTGAGGCGCCTTGAGTTTGGTCACCTCACCACCTTCGACGACTTGCCTCCCACGGCGGCGTTCATGATCGAGAAAATCCAGACCTTGGACATTGCCGAGGCCGAGGAGATCTTGAAGCAGTTCTTGGAGGACCACGACACAGACCTCAACATCCCCAACGAGGAAATCGACTTTGTCGAGCTTCTTGTGGAAAAATCGCCCCGCAACGCTGCCCGGGGCGACGTCAAGACCATGGGCTTTTCTGAGTTGGAAAAAGAGCACAGCGACAAGGAACACACGGCTGTCAATGAGCTGGTCTCGCTTTCGTCGCTCGAGTCCATGGACTTTAAAAAAGTGTTTGACTGGGAATTGCAGGCGAAAACCGAGGCCGGTCTTATTGCCTACTGGTCGCCTTACCCGGAGGTTCGTTCTGTTACAGATCCATACGACGATGCCTCCACTCCGTGTGAAACATGGAGAGTCTACTTCTTGGGCATGATCTGGGTCGCCATTGGCTCCGTCATCAACGAATACTTCTACAACAGAATGCCCAGCATCAGTTTACGGTCGCTGGTTGTGCAGCTTTTCCTCTATCCATGCGGTAAGTTCCTCGAGGCCGTGGTGCCCAAGAAAACCATCAAAATCTGGAAATGGAGCATTGAGCTTAATCCTGGGCCTTGGTCCCACAAGGAGCAGTTGCTTGCCACGCTTTGCTACAGTGTGAGTGGTGCTGCTGTGTACGCCAGTTCTTTCATTACACTCCAGAAGTTGGACATCTTCTACGGCGAGAAGTTTGTCGATTTCGGCTACCAGATCCTCTTGGTTCTCGCCTCCAACTTCATGGGTTTCGGTTTCGCCGGTATCTTCAGAAAATTCGTCATCTACCCAGTCCACTCCATCTGGCCCACCATCTTGCCCACACTTGCGCTTAACAAGGCCTTGATTCAACCAGAGAAGAAGGAGAAAATCCACGGCTGGACCATCTCCAGATACAGCTTCTTCTTCGCCGTCTTTGCATTTTCCTTCTTGTGGTTCTGGGTGCCTGACTACCTCTTCACGGCGCTTTCCTCATTCAACTGGATCACCTGGATTGCTCCCAACAACCTCAACTTGGCCACCATCACCGGAATGTCGTCCGGCTTGGGCCTCAACCCCATCTCGACTTTCGACTGGAACATCATGGGCATGAACTCGCCTTTGGCGATTCCCTTCTTTGCTCAGTTGAACAACTTCTGCGGAATGATCATTGGTTTCTTCGTCATTGTCGGCTTGTGGTGGACCAACTACAAGTGGACTGCCTACTTGCCCATCAACTCCAACCAGATCTTTACCAATCAGGGCGAGATCTACCAAGTGCAAGCAGTGTTGCTGGACAAAGGTACTCTTGACCAGGAGAAATACGAGAAAGTCGGTCCTCCATTCTATTCCGCTGCCAACCTTGTGGTGTACGGTGCCTTCTTTGCCGTGTACCCATTGAACGTGGTCTATGTTCTCCTCACTGACTACAAGAGACTCTGGTTTGCCATTAAGTCCATGATCAAGTCGATGAACTTCAAGAAGAAGACCTCTGCGTACGACGGTTTCAACGATCCTTTCTCGAGATCCATGACAAAATACAAGGAGGTGCCCGAATGGTGTTTCTTGATCATCTTGCTTATCAGTGTGGTGTTTGCCATTGTCTGTGTCAAGGCCTACCCATTGAACACCCCAGTGTGGACCATTTTCTTCGCTTTGGGTATGAACTTTGTTTTCTTGTTGCCCTTCTGCGTGGTCTACTCCACCACCGGTACTGCTGTTTCCATCAATGTCTTGCTTGAGTTGATCATTGGTTACGCTCTTCCAGGTAACGGTACCGCCTTGAACTTCGTCAAGACCTTGGGTACCAACATTGACGCCCAAGCTGAAAACTATATTACAAACCAAAAACAAGCCCACTACTTGAGAATCCCACCAAGAGCCTTGTTCCGTGTCCAGATGATCTCCAGTATCATCTACAGTTTCGTCTCTGTGGGTGTTCTTAACCTCGCCATTGACACCATCGAAGACTACTGTACCAGTGGCCAGCCTCAGAGATTCTCCTGTCCAAACACCACCACATTCTACTCTGCATCTGTCTTGTGGGGTGTCATTGGACCCAAGAAGGTGTTCGGCCATCTTTACCCTGTTTTGCAATGGTGTTTCTTGATTGGCTTCTTGCTCGCTTTCCCATGCTGGGCACTCCGGAAGTGGGGCAGAAAGACCGTTATTGGCAAATACGTGCACCCGGTTGTCGTTGTTTTCGGTTTCCTCCAATATGCTCCTTACAACTTGAGTTACTACATTCCAGGCATGATCCTCTCGTTCATCTTCATGTACTTGATCAGAAAGAGAAAGACCGCCTGGTGGGAGAAGTACAACTATATTCTCTCTGGAGGCATGGATGCTGGTGTTGCGTTTAGCAGTATCATCATCTTCTTTGCCGTCCAGTACCATGCTAAAAATATCGAGTGGTGGGGCAATACGGTAAACGACAATGGAATCGATGCCATGCGCCCATCCAGACTTAATGTTACGACCGATGCTCCCGATGGGTACTTCGGGCCCAGAATCGGCCATTTCCCATGAGACATGAGACTAAATACGAAAATTAATTCATTGTACTAGGAAGGTGTAGCTCGAACTTTTTTTCTGGTATCCAGATCGATGCTGGCATCTGCTTTCCCTCTCCTCGAAGCATCATTAATCATCATTAAAAATTAACCAAAACTTAAATTTGTTTGAGATATTTCAGCATTCTGCTTAAAACACTCAATTTTGCAGCCACTTTGCAGTCCACCAAATAATACGCCGTCAACGCATCTTAAACTTTAGCCTCAGACTACAGATATCAAGACTTACGTATTTCAACGTACCCCAGCCGTTTCCCTCCAAATCTATATTTTCACCCACCTTCATCGTAAATCAGCTGTCAACGTCATCTTGCCTACTAAGCCCCGTGTCATGATTATGTCCTATCGCGAAATCTCTCACGGCCACTTTTAGGCATGGTCCATGACTATGCACAGCCTGCACACGCCTAACTATGCAGCCGTTCATGCGTATAAAGAGCCACCCAACCCCATGGGTATTTTTCAAACATGGCCCGTTCCTACCAATTCCAGATACAACTAGAGAATCCAAACCGACAGTTCCACCCTGGCGACACGGTGCGGGGTAATGTTGCCCTCGAGGTGCACAAGTCCATGACCGTTCGTGACATCACCGTGCTGCTATCTGGCCAGTGTAAGTCTGCCAACTACAAGTACGTCACCCAGTATAATGCTTTCACGAAAAGGTACGAGCAGCGGAAGGTGAGCAATGCAATTGGATTCAGTCTTTTCGGTTTTTCCACAAAAGTGTTTCCTCCGCCTAATCTCCAGCAGCACGGTCTGGCTGAGGAATACACCTTGGCTGAAGGCAAGTACAACTATCCATTTGAGCTTTCTTTTCCAAACGGCACCATCGAGGCAAAAGCAATGTCACACTTTGATGTCAGTTCTTCGTACTTGGGCAATTCGTTCTTGTACGGTCCCAATTTGCCTCGTCGAGGCACTCAGAACATGGGCCCTGTCACGGTATCACTTCCACCTTCGTTCAACATGACCCAGGCCAGTGACGATTATGCAATTGTCGAGTATCATGTTGATGCTAGGGCAGACCGCAAAGGGTGGTTCAAATCGGACGTTTTCGACAGACAACAGCTCCGTTTTTCACCCCGCCTAGACTCTGTGATGTTCTCGTTTGGGCCCTTGATGAGCACACAGGGCGTTTCGACAAACAATTCTGCATTCATCGCCAACAACAGCACCGGAAACGCCAGACTCAAGTTTGACATTGAAAAAAGCAAAAGAAGCGAGGGCCGCAGCTTCTTGAGAAGAGTGTTCACCTCCAGAAGCGTCAAAATCCCCTTGGAGCTTATGGTGGAGTTCAAGCAAAGCAACACCGTTGCGTATCCACAAGGAACAACCGGGCGGGTTTTGCACCAGGGCGACAACCTCGCAGATATAGTCAGCCTCAAGCTCTTCACAGCATTTTCGGCTGAATCGCTCCAGCAAATGTTGATAGGTGGAGACGGGAAAAAGAACGTTCCGTCAGCGCCGTTGTCGAATCTCAAAGTCAAGAAAATCGCCGTGTCTTTGGTCCACATGGTGTATTACCAAGGCATCGAGCCCAAGGTTCAAGCTCGCGAGAACCTCGTCGGTAAGCAGGCATTCCTGAACGAGTTTGAGATTTCGGACTTCGAGGAGGTCCAGTATTGGAGTCAGGATTTGGTGAGAAAGGTCAAGCAGGACTACTCTCCCTACTTCGAAACGGGCAAGGCTTTTATGCTTGAGATACCGCCGGAAATGATATCTTTCATCCTATACTCAGACTTCCAGTCGTTTGCAGCACCTAACATCCTGGTGGACTACCAGCTCAGAATCAGCATGTCGGTGTCCACCACGGACGAGAGCCCGAACCTGGCAGAATTGGTCTGCACTGCTCCAATTGTGTTTCTTCCGAACCGGGTCGATGGAGCTTCTTCTATGGAATATCATCCCCCACCAAACCCGCCATTGGATTCTCTGATTTTGCAACCACCTGGAGCTGCTGGACCAGACCAAGGTGGACAAGAGGAAGAGCTACCTGCTTATTCTGAGGTCGGCAGAGCATGAGTTGGAGGGGGATATTAAGCATAGTGTCAAAAGCCACGGTCGATTTGGTTTATTGTGGGGTCAGGTAACCCCCATTGGAGCTTTGTCTACCGATTCCAGTCTATTAATGAGTCTCAGAGAAGATAGCAACTGTGTTCTATCTCATTCAGAGCAAGGGTTATAGGGGTTGATTTTGAGGTCTCACACCTAATTAGTGGGTCTGCAGCTCGTGCTATTGGAACTCATGAAACCCTCTAGTCGAAGGCGCCAAATACCAGGCAACGCAGGCCTATATTTATTTGAATAGCATCAATTGCATTTTCTCTTGTCAGCGAGTTTACTTGAAGGTTGGCAATAAACTGCACCGCATCAGTTGTGGCGCTTGCAATATATAAGGAACCGTCTTACCCCAATTACAATATTCACCCCTTTTCCACCAATAATAAGTTTTCCCGATTTGATCTTTTTCCTATCCTACTAGTTCGCTTGAACTGCCGCCAAATCCTACTTTCAGTTGCATGGGTCTTTTGTCGATAGTGGCAGTCTAGTGGTGAGTCGTTCTCGTTCTACCAATTGGCAAGCATTTGGTGCATTCACTGCCGAAAGTGGAGAGGGTTTGGTATTACTTCGTCTAGAACAGATTATTGGAAACCAAAAAGGCAGAATTGATGATACTGCTTGTGGTACTAGATAACGGCGGAAGTGTACCATTGGATCCATAGAGCTGCTGGCTGTTAAGTGATCTTAGGTTTTTGTGACAGATACAGCAAGAGGTCTTGGGCTGCCTTACTCAGGCTATCGATCAATCCTTTTTAATCTATGTCACTTAACAGGAGTTCTGGTCTGAGTAACTTTGTTGAGAAATGAAGAAGGACTGGAAAAGGAACATGGTTTACTTTGTCCAGAATACCTACTTGGTTGTCGGCAACTCCTCCTTGCCTGATTAGCACACTCCTATTACCTGTGAAGACAGTATGAACCCAGAACATTGTGTGGATGCTTTGCTGATCGTTCTTCATTAATTGGGCATTGATATAAATCTAGATAGGAAATTCTTCGAAGGTTCCAAGGGAAGGCTTCTAAATAACGTGAACTACTTACTGGAAATTTAACGAAAGGCTTCAATTTCAGTTTACGTGAGTGGAAGCTTGATCTGTAAAGGGCTTACAACGAACCAAAATCTCCCATCCTGATACCCAGAGGGAATCTGTTCAAGAAGCCGGTTATCCGGAGGCCAGGAACAACGACATTTCGAGCTTTCTCCAGGCTAAATCAAACTCAAAGTCAAACTTGATCGAAAAAGAAGAGTATAAGCAACCCAGGTTAACAAGTTTCAACAAAATTCGTCGTCAAGTATGTTCTCCTACAACCCCCACATGTCATTCTTTATCAGTGAACAGATAAGGCGTCCGAAAACCACAAAGTTGCCGTACGAAAATGACGATTTTTGTGGCAGGTGATTGCTTCAACCCCTTCGGCAACTGCCCGAATGTGTTAAACCCGGACGAAGAAATGACATGTTGATATGCGCAAATGCCTAAACTTGTACGGCTCGGTGGTTGCGCTTTTCTACTTTGGGACACGCGACCCCTACTTCGGCCCCTTATCTCCACAATTAAATTCTGGGACACTCTTTGTTCTGATTACCACAAAATCGTAGATTTTGTTTGTGTAGATTTTTTACTATAAGGTAGTGGAGTCTTATCTCTATTCGCGGCAACTCTACCATGGCTTTTGTAGTGAATAGAGAGCGTCTGCAGGGTCTTCCTGATAAGCTGTCAAAGGCTTTGGCAGGTCTACACCGAAAAATTTTATGGAGAATTATTCATTTCTGCAAGATGAAACTACAAGAACCAATTGATTTTTTTCTCCTTTTTGGCGGCATTTGTGTTGGACAAAAAGCTAAAACTCAATTCCTTATCTTTTCTGCTTAATTCTCGCACGGTGTTGCAATTCCATCCTAAAGCACAGGGGGCTAAACATGCAATGGGCGTTTTTTTATGACGGAAGTTGTTGGATTTGACGTGGTGCCAAGAACGCCAAAAGTCTTGGCTGCGTGGTTTTCAACCTCTTTGACAGGGGGTGAAACGTCACAGTTATGTGTGGCACCGGGATTACTGTCATGACAATGGCAATCATCGAGACGATATCGGCCCGAGCGTCAGGTCCGCCTTTGGGGTCCCTTTTTCGTCAATTCTTGTAGAAGGAAAGTCCATAAAAAAAAAAAAAAAATCGAATGCAACGACCAAAACAAAAAGCTGTCAAAAGAGCAGGTGCCACATCAGGTGCCACATGTGTGGAACAAGGAAAAGCAGGGATCCAAACCAGAGCTTATCGAGAGCAGGTCCTCCATTTTGGCTGGCGGACTTGCCGGGGATCACACGCCATTCGGGTTAAATCACCCTGGGGATAATACTACTATTCCGGTGCGCTCCACAACCACAGTCCATCGTTTCTAGTCAGGTAGGGCCAATTTGAAATTTTTAAAATTCAATTTGTAGAATAAAATACATTTTTGAATCCACCCCATGATTTGTTTAGGTCTCAGGGGATTGGCTGCGCTGTTAGTGCTGGGATATGGCACCTCGGCTTAAGTACCAGGCCGCCTTGCAATGCACGGCGGAACTACAATTCCTTGAAGCCATAGATCAAAAAATGGCTTTGTTGTGGCTTATCGGGGTTGGGAGTAAGACAGCGATTTACGGGCCATGGAGAAGCGAAAGTCAGAGTAACAGTAGTTTTGAAAACGGGCGATTTGTGGAAATCTTCGAAAATAGCAAATTTAAGTTCAGTTTCCCCACTTGTGGATTTTCCGGGATTTCGGCAGGTTTTTCCATGACTTCTGATAAGCGATATGCAAGGTGTTTGATAGCCGTGCCGGCGCTCACCTTGTGGATTTTGCAGCCATAGCGATATCGGTCCGGTGGTCCACACGAAAACTATAAATATGGCCTGGAAATCCCTCTATTTCCTCCATCGACCCACCAATGTCGGAAAAAATCAACCACATCACAAGTGTGACCAGTATCACCAGTGGCACCGACAGGCACGACCTCAACACCTTCCAGGTCAACTTGGAGGATGTCAGGTCCCACCAGTACGGTGTGGCTGAGATCCTGGAGGAGTTCAGCGTGGAGCAGAAGCTCTACATTCTTAAGAGAATGGAGCAGGATCACCTCGAGTCTTTTGACGACTTGCCTCCTACTGGTGCTTTCATGATTGAGAAGATCCAGAGCTTGGACATCCACGAAGCCGAGCAAATCCTTAAGGAGTTCTTGCGGGATCACGATGGCGACGTCAACATCACCATGGAATACTACGACTTTGTGGAGGCCTTGTCGAACTACAAATCTGGTCTGGAATCGGAGTCTCTGAGCAAGGGCCTGGTCAGTGAAAAGAACGAGGTGGCCGAAAAAAGTGAAGCTATCGTCAGAGAGCGTTCTATCGAGTCCGAAGAAACTGGCAAATGGAACGATATCTTTGACTGGGATTTGCAGGTCAGAACCGAGGCCGGTATGATTGCTTTCTGGTCTCCATACCCAGAAGTCAGAGCTGTCACTGATCCATATGATGATCCCGAAACACCCTGTGAAACTCTTAGAGTTTACGTGCTTGGTTTGATTTGGGTTGTCCTCGGTACGTTCATTGGTCAGTATTTCAGTGAAAGACAGCCTGGTATTGGTTTGGGCCCTTCTGTGGTGCAGCTTTTCGTATACCCATGTGGTGTGTTCTTGTCCAAGGTGGTCCCAAAGAAAACCATCAAGATCTGGAAATGGAACGTTGCTCTCAATCCTGGCCCCTGGAGTCACAAGGAGCAGATGCTTACAACCTTGTTCTACAGTGTCAGTGGAGGCAGTGTCTATGCTGGACATTTTATTGTGCTTCAGAAATTGGAGATGTTTTACAACAACCCTAAGTTCACTTTCGGCGGCCAGATTCTTCTTGTTCTTGCTTCGAATTTCATGGGTTTCGGATTGGCCGGTATTTTCCGTAAGTTCGTCGTCTACCCAGTCACTGCCGTCTGGCCTACGCTTCTTCCTACCTTGGCTGTGAACAAGGCTTTGACCAAGCCAGAAAAGAAGGAGAACATTAACGGTTGGAAGATCTCCAGATACTCCTTTTTCTTGATCACTTTTGCCGCCTCCTTTGTTTATTTCTGGGTCCCCGACTACTTGTTCACAGCTCTTTCCTACTTCAACTGGATCTCCTGGGCTGCTCCAGATAATTTTAATGTTGCTGCCATCACCGGCTCCTACACCGGCTTGGGTCTTAACCCATGGACCAGTTTTGACTGGAACATTATCGGCGTCGGCTGTTTTGCTACCCCATTCTTTTCCCACTTGAACGCTTACATGGGCTCTCTTCTTGGTCTTTGCTTGATCGCTGCTCTTTGGTGGACTAATTACAAGTGGACCGGCTTCTTGCCAATCAACTCCAACCGTATCTTCACCAATAAGGGTAGGGTTTACCAGGTCACAGCTGTTTTGGACGAGAACAAGAAGCTTGACCAGGCCAAGTACGACAAGGTCGGACCTCCATTTTACAGTGCAGCCAACTTGATTGTTTACGGTACTTTCCTTGCCTTGTACCCCATGAACTTCTTCTACGTGGTTCTCACCAACTTCAAGCAGTTGAAGTTTGCTTTGGTCGGCTTGGTCAAGTCTTTCGACTTCAGAAAGAGACACTCCACCTACGAGGGCTTCAACGATCCATTCTCTGTTTCCATGAAAAGATACAAAGAAGTTCCTGAGTGGTGGTTCACCATTATTTTGCTCATCTGTATTGTGTTTTCCATCATCACTGTCGAGGTCTACAACTTGGAAACCCCAGTGTGGACCATCTTCTTCGCATTGGTCTTGAACTTCGTCTTTTTGATTCCATTTGTGGTGGTCTACGCCTCGACTGGTAGCAGTATGTCCATCAACGTTCTCCTTGAGATGATCATTGGTTACGCTCTTCCAGGTAACGGTACCGCCTTGAACTACGTCAAGACTTTGGGTACCAACATTGATTCTCAGGCTGAGAACTACATCACCAACCAGAAACAGGCTCACTACTGGAGAATCGCTCCAAGAGCGCTTTTCAGAGTTCAAATGCTTTCAGTTATTGTCAACAGTTTCGTTGCCGTGGGAACCCTCAACCTTGTGTTCAACACTGTCGAAGACATGTGTACTCCTCACCAACCCCAGAGATTCACCTGTCCTGGTTCCACCACATTCTACTCGGCCTCTGTTGTTTGGGGTGTTGTTGGTCCTAAGAAGGTGTTTGGTGGTCTTTACCCTATTTTGCAGTGGTGTTTCTTGATTGGTTTCCTTCTCGTGTTCCCATGTTGGGCTCTTAAGAAGTACTACGGTAGAACCATCATCGGTAAGTACTTCCACCCTATTGTGTTCACCATTGGTATCATGATTTATGCTCCTTACAACTTGTCTTACCTGACTCCCGGATTCATCTTGTCCTATGTGTTCATGTACTACATCAGAAAGAGAAAGACTGCCTGGTGGGAGAAGTACAACTATATTCTTGGTGGTGGTATTAGTGGTGGTATTAGTGGTGGTATTGCTTTCAGCTCTATCATTATCTTCTTTGCTGTCAAGTACCATCCCAAGAACATCAGTTGGTGGGGTAACAATGTCAACGCTAACACGCTTGACTACAACGGTGCAACAAGACTTAATGTCACCACCCAGGCCCCTGATGGCTACTTTGGTCCTAGAATCGGCCACTTCCCTTAAGCGGGATCATCCCTTGATTGGGTTTTGTTTTATAGATTTGTTTAGTTCTTCGTGCAACGGCACAGTGTTAGATTCGAGGTGTTGGAATCGATTAATGTTTTTTGATGTCAGTGTAGGCCTTTTGATTGTCAGTTATTGAGGAATGTATATTTTGTCTCATATTTTTGATGTTCATCTTTCGTAGCTTATCCATATAATGGGGGTCGGTTGTCTTTCAGGTTTGAGTTCTCGATACCAGAGATTGAATAGATAAAGGGGACGAAAGATAAATATGGACGTCCATTAAGGAAGCCTTTTTAGAAGCACCAGCCTCGGCTCCTATACAAATCAGTCCCTCAAATCACTTCTAACTAGTCAATGTGATATAGGCCTTCTACTGCTAAGCTGAGCCCTCAACCACCCATATATGTACTACACCAAAAACACCAAAAACACCACTCTGGCTCATTCCACTCTTTAAATAACACTAGAAGCTCGTCAATGCCGTTTAAAAGTCGATTGAAAAAAAAAAAAAAATAAGGAAACCTCAAATAAACCATCATCCTTCTCTGCACCTGTCCACCCATCGCTCAAACACCTCTACTTTATCGTGAACCTCTCCAGCACAATTCCTCTCCAGCACAATTCCTGAATTTCCCAAACCTCCAGCCCTCCAAATCCCCGTTCCTTCTTAATCCAAAGAATCCCTCGCAAATCACGGAGAAATCCACCGTTCCGCCTCACCGCACCAACCCACAATGGCCCAATTTGCACCCAAAGAGTCCTCGGACCACCACAAATAAACTTCCACTTCCGCTTTCGGACTGCCAGCAGCACCACCATTTCTTCCCAGCGACCGTCCCACAAAAAGAAAAATCAAAACTCAAAAGAAAAAAAAGAACTGTTTCCCTGCTCCCCTATCACCTCATCGCTTATCAACACTTCTGCATCCAGGCTATCATTCGCAATTATCACCAACTACATGAAGCGGATCTTCCGAAGAAAGCTGCGGTCCAACCTGACCTCGCTGGATGACGTCAGGCCGTTCCAGCGACGTCTCAGCCTTCCCGCCCCCAACGAGGTGGAAATTCTCCATTCCATCAACAACGCCGCCACAGAACCCCACGAACCAGATGACTTCTTGGACCAGGAGTCCGTGGCGCTTTCCGAGACAGAAACTCTAGCACAGCCCAAGTCCCACCGCTGGGACCTCCAGGAAACGTACATGGAAAACTACACCGAGTATCTTCCGTACGTGATGAACAGGCTTAGGGCTCAGAGACTAGAGGAACAGAGGGCTAGAGCGGAGGACCTCAGCCCTACAGCCACGTTGGACGACGACGAAACCATGATTCTGGAGCTGGATCTGGGAAATTGCATCTTGGGGCGGCCGTCGGAGGCGTGGAACTTGAAACGCAGCTTGGTGGTGCTGAGAGAGTTCATCAAGGGCACCACCTACTTGTTTGCAGACATGCGGGCGTTTGAAAAGTTCCGCTACTTGCGGGCCAACCAGAAGAAGCTCAACAAAAACACTTTTATTGTGTACGATGCCGAGGGCAACATCAAGAAAGTGAGAGGGAAGCCGCCGTCGGAGGAAAACATGGCCCTGCTTACGAGGAAGGGCTCTGTGGTGGACCAACGACAGCACATTATACCCGTTGACCATAAACTCCGGGGCGACGGCTTGCCTATTTTCAAAATTATCAGCCCTTACATGTCCTCGTTCCGCAAAAAGGTGCCGTATATGGTATTCCGTCGGTATCGGCAGATTCCGCTTCGTCCCAAGGGCACAGAAAAAGACGACGAGGACGAAAACTTTGAGCTGTACGTCTTCTGCACTGTTCAGGTCAAAAACTACTCCCTCTACCGCCGCTTCATCTTCTATTTCACTCCAGAAGGTCTTCCCCCTCTGAAGTTATTGGTTTTCCAGAACAACCACCGGCCGTTTGCTGATTTCAACTACAAAGACACCCGCTTCCGGATCCTGGGAACCTGTCTCACGAATCCATACCTCATGAGCTACAACCCCGAGATGAAGTTGCTTGTGCTTGGGCCTCGCCAAAACTCGCTTTGCGACAATATTATAGACAAACTGAACCAGGACGCCGCCAAGTCTGGTTCCACTATCGACCTCACAGACAATCTCCTGCCTGAATACTTCCCCAATCCTGTTCCCCATCCCAAAAATCCCATTCTAGTTGACGATGATGGCCCCTTATCAAGAGCATCTATCAGGACCTACATTCTCAACAAAATGCCCCCTTTTGGTCGCTTCCTCGACTCATGTGCATACATGGACGACTCCCCGTTGTTTCCAAAACGATACTCAGAAACAGGCAAGGTCGAATTGTACCAGAACAATACGAACATGGACCCTCACGCTGATCTCTCACTTGCTTCGAGTCTCGATCACGACAGCTTGGTGATTACTACGGTGTTCTTGACGCTTCAGGAAACAAGAACAAGAAACACCAACCGCTATGCCTCCAACAAGTTCATGGGAGGTGTAGGTGGAGGTGCTTACCTTGCTGGTCTGGTGGGTAGAGGCATTGAGCCACATCATATTGGCACCTTCACCATGAATGCCCTCTAGAGCCGACAGAAACAGCTGAATTGGGCAAGGGACTCTGATAGGTACATATTTATTAATGAGTAACGACGAAATATCTGATCGGTAATAACAATATTAAATCTAATACCATAACCGTATGCTCAATTGGCCTACTCCGCTGCTTTCCTTCCTTGCATTCTATTTATTAAGCGGGCATCGTTATGTACTTTTGTTTAGCGGCTGGGAGAACGAGAGCGAGACCTTTCCCTCTGAGGAGAGGCTGACCTTGAGTAACGGCCACGAGAATACTCGTCGTTCCCATTAGGTTCATGCGCATCGGGACCAGCAGCGTCTCGGCTGCGGTCCTCGTCCCTAGTCTCGAAATCACGGTCTCTTCCTCCGCGGTCACCCACATATCTGTCTGCTCTGTCTCTGTACGAATCTCTTTCGTCACCAGGACCATCGTACCGCCTGTCTCTGTAGCCATAAGGCTCTCTACCGTAGCCGTATCCGTCGTAGTATGGATCACGGCCTCCTCTTGGAGGTGGATAAGGGTGTGGAGCAGGGTAGCCGTATCCGCCTCTTTCGTAGCCATAGCCGTAGCCGTAGCCACCTCTGCCGCCGCGTGGGGGTGGGTATGGAGCTCCGTAAGGAGGTGTGGCGTATCCTCCTCTAGGGTATCCGCCTCTTCCGTAACCTCCACGGCCACCTCTGAAACCTCGGGATCCTCTAAACAGACCTCTTCTGGCGGAATAGGGATCTGAACGGGCCATCTGGACAACCAAACCGTCTTGTTTGGCGTAAGGCAAAGGTTTGCCATCGAGCTCTAGAGCCTTCTCACAATCTTCTTCGGTCTTGTATTCCACGAAGGCATACTTTTCACCGTCGTCTGTTCTGGGGGGAGGAATATCGAGCCGGACGAGCTCGCCATATCTGGATGTTAGTTTCTGGATTGGGATGGATGGATAACCGGACAAATAAAGAAGAAAGCGAGAGACTCATGGAGGCTGGAGAGGTGGAGGCCTGGATGGATTCAGAGGATGGAATGGGGAAGGAAGGGGAGGGGATCTGTGCCGGAACTAGCATGGAACGTACTTCTCGAAGTCGGGCGCCAAGTCGGCTGCCTTGGATTCTTTGGTGAACCCTGTAACGTAAAGGGTGTTTTTGGGCATGGGATGTGTTTGACGACGATGGAGAACGTTGAAGATAAACCGCGTGCACGTGACTGCGAGCACGTGATACACGTTAAAGGCCACACGATGGCTGTTTCGTTGAGATAGTCGGTGGCCACCTTTTTTTCAGGTGTTTTGAGGAAGGAGCCAATTTGGGCTCTCCGACAGGCTGCTAGTTCTTGTGGTTGGCAAGGTTGTTGACGTTGGTACTGCATATCCCTCCATGTTCACGGAACCCTACTGGAGGTAACTCCACAAAATTCACCTGGAAGAAACCGGTGGAGGTCTTTCTTGACATTAGTTAGTAAGTTCACTGCTTAAAGCTTCTACCTGGCGAGCTCGGTTTTCTCGAAGTCCTCTGTGCACCCGTCCCCCTTAAGGTCCATCCGTCCAAGGGTCTCCCTAACATCATTTTCCACCAATTGATCAGTAAAACCTTTGAAAACTTAAAGTCTAGTTCCCAACGGTCAAAAACACACGGTTCAACAAATGGCCGCATGAAATTGCTCAATCGCACTTGACCTGTTGTTGGGTGTTTTGCAGCCATTCAACACGGTGGCGAAAGAAACGCCGAGGATAACCACAAGCCAAATCAGCCTCGATCCTCATCCAACAAAAGCGATTTAAATCCGCATTAGCCAGATCACAAGACAAATCTTGACATCTGCTCGGCCCACCTTTGCTCCAACAATGGCAGCCTTGGCGATGAAGCTGGGTAACTATTTCGGAAAGCTGGAAAAAGTTGCCTTTTGAAGTCGAGTGGCACTCATTTTCGTAAATCAATTCCGTTGGGGCCGAAATCACATTCTTTATATCGAAGTCATATGAATGCCATTGTCGTGATTGGCACCCTCTTCGTAGGAGTTAAGGCACCACACCCGTACACCACCCTTTAAAAGTGGTCCGCCTACCTCCCACTACAAAATTTAGGCGCACCTGCGTGGGAGGAGACGGTCACGTGACCAAGATCTCTTTTTTTACGCGGTGTACGGGTCTAGACTTGCGCGCCCCAACATGGTACCCAACAAAACGCTTCCCCAGGTACCGCCATACTGCAATCTAGTCCCACACAACAACATAGAAGCACCGAGAAGCTTGTCAACTGCGGCGAGACCCACTAAAGACCCGTACACCACCTCGTAAAAGGCAATCACACCTCCGTACCGCCCACCGCCGCTACCGTGGCCACAAGTGAATCCCCTATTCTGAGAAGAGGCTATAAGGTTCGCGTTAGACCCGTAAACCAGACCCATACCCAGCGAAGAGGAGATCCACAAAGGCCAGCAAAAAAGACAGACCACCGTCAACAGCAGTTTTAATTTCCCCCAGATCTCCCCGAAAACACATCCTTCCAGCAGGTCCGATTCAACATGGCCTTCGCTGACGACATGGTCGTAGACCACAATATTCTTCTCCACCAGGACCAGGATGATCAAGACATTCTTAGTGAATTCCTAGACCAGAGAGTGTTTGACTCCGTCAACTCCGCCTCTCCAGTGAACAGCGGTATCCAAAGTCCCTACCATCCTGATTTTGACGTGATGTTCCAGAAATTCAAGCCTGAAGACGACATGCTCGAGGAAGCTACCAAAGTGGAGCCCGAACAAGGCCACAACTACCTATACCTGTCCCATGAGAACTTCGAGAGAGACTCTTTTGCCAATAACACCCCAGAAAAGCACTCCTCCGACGACCTGGCTCTCTCTGTTTACGAGCAGGTCCGTAAGGAAGTCTCGAAAGTGAAGTTTGGTAACCCAATGCAAAAGGTGTGTCCTGACTCCTTGGAACTCGAGGATCCTTCCTACTTGGATTTCTCCCCTGCTACAATGAATGCCCTCCCATATAAGCTCGACGTTGAGGACCTTCCCACATACTCTAGAGTGGAAACCCAGATCAAGTTACGCTTCGCTTTCAGCCCGGCTCCCAAAGAAACCTTGGTTCGCATCCCACAAGATTTGGTGTCTAAGACAAAACACTGTTTGCTGTCAAGCGCCGACTCGTTGCCTGATTTCCTCAAGGAGAACATGCTCTATATGGAAACTTACGTCATGACTTCCGACGGTAAGACTTCTTGCAACATTTGCAAGCGCTGCATCAAGAGAGAACAGAAGAGAGCATCGAGATCAAAAACGGGCGGTGTTGAAAATGGAGACTCTCCAACGTCCGCAGGCAAGTCTCTTCCTAACATGTGGAGCGACGAGGACATGATCAAGAAAGCCATCATTTACAACTCCAAAGAGATGGTCAGCTTTGCACCACCCACGGGCCTAATAGATGACCCAAGCAAGAGTTTGCATTTCTCCGTTAGAATTGTTTGTTACTGCAGACATCACAAGGAGCAAGACGGCTTTAAGCTTCTATTCGTCGTGAAAAATTATTTGGGTGACGTTGTGGCCAAGCATTTGCTGAACCCTATCATGATCATGGACAGAAAGAAAAACCAATCTGCTTCAAAGGAGCCATCAAAGCCCAGAATCAAATCGGAGGGTTCTGTTGGCGACAACAACGACGGATCCTTGCACCCTCTTTCGCCCAACTCTATTGACGACTCAAACTCAGAAGCTCTCGTCAACACGGATACCAACACTGATACCCTATCCGGACACAGAGGAACGAAGAGAAAGAAGATGTCGTTTGACGACAGTGGCAACACATCAGCCAATCCAATGTACAATGGCTCGACGGGCTTATCGCCCCTCAGTAACAGTGATACAAACACATCGATCCATAACATGAACCCAAAAAACAGTCTATCGTTGGTGAGTAAGGGCTCTGTGCCTGGTTCATTTACACAGCTGGTCCAAGCTCTGCCTATTCCAAGGCAACGTCTGCAACAGCTGTTTGGCATGGCACAGCAAAATAATAACTACCCGATGATTCAAAAGATCATTCCTGCCCAAGGACCCATCAGAGGAGGTATAGAGGTCACTCTTTTGGGTTTCAATTTCCGTCCTGGATTGAACGTTAAGTTTGGTTCCAAAAATTCCTTGGCCACGCACTGCTGGTCTGACAGCACAATGGTGACATACCTTCCACCTGCGGCTCAGCCAGGACAAGTCTTGGTGAGCTTTGAAAGTCTAGAGCACGTCATCCCAGTTAATCAGCAGCTGATATTCACATACACTGACGACACCGACCGCCAGCTCATTGAGCTTGCATTACAAATTGTTGGTTTGAAGATGAATGGAAAGTTGGAGGACGCCAAAAACATTGCGAAGCGTATTGTTGGCTCCGACTCTCAGTCTGGCAGTAACAGCGGCACTCCTCCCCAACAGACAAACGTGTCAGGAATGAACCAGGCCAGTAAGGAATGGTACGACAATGCTCACAAGGCTGTGGAGCAGCTTGTGAAGTCCGAGCTCTCTACCGAAGAGATTTTGATTAACTTCCTCTCTTTGGTTGACTTGCCAAACTGCCCCATCATCATTCCCAACTGGCAGTTGTGCAACAACCAGGGTCAGTCCTTATTGCACCTTGCTACACTCAAAAACTACACGCATTTGATCAAGTTCCTCATCACTCACGGCTGCAAGATTGATATCAAGGACAACCAGGGTCTTACGCCCTTGTTCTTCGCATCAATGTGTGGTTCTCGTGACTTGATGAGGGTCTTCATTGAGTGCAAGTCTAACTGGAACCTCAAATTAGCCAACGATAAGTTCTTGAAGGACTACAGTGATATCAATGTGTTGGACGTGTTCAATAAGCTTGAAGCTGAGAGCTACATGTCAGACGAGGTGAGCAGTGTGAACAACTCAGGCAGAGAGGTCGAGGAAGAGTTGACTAAATCTTACAGCGTGGACTCATTGAACTCTTTGTTCATGATTGACTACGGAAAGCATATTTCGAAGATGGTGATGGAATCGTCGGCTGAAGATGGCCAAGAGACAAGAGATGCCGAGGTCACCGACAATGCCTACGAAACTACAAGGCCTAATTCACCTGACGGATACGGTGGTGACTCCTCCGATTTCGCCGATTCTGAGCTCGATTCTGAAGATAGTTTCTCGGACCACGGCCGTGAGCCATTCCGCAGACAATTCCAAACTGGTCTTCACGACGAGGACGATTACGATGATGACTACCAGGATTACGAGAGCAGCGATGATGAAAGCGACGATGCACATGACGAGGATGGCCCGATTCAGGGCCCAGACAGACCACCTAGAAAGGGTTTGTGGCAGAAGATGAAAAACGCTGTTTTCCACAGCGATAACAGCGACGCGGAGCTCCCTTCGTACGATGATCTCTTCCCCTTCGGACACCTGAACGTCGGAGAAAAGCCAAAGACACAACAGGAAAGACAGCTTAACGGTCTGCAGAGCATTGAAGGCTCGCTGGCCACGCGCAAGCGTCTGGCAACAGAGGAAGATGCGGGACTCACATCAGACTCGTCAGAAGACATGGTGATCTCGTATATCAACCACCCACGTAAGACGGTGGAGAGCGACAAGATGTTGTTGTTCTTCTGGGTGCCGATTCTCGTTTTCATCATTGGGTTGTTTTTGTACGTGAGTATCACCGGCCAGCCCATTGGATTCGTGGAGAAGTTCAAGGACATGGGCCGTGACACGCTCGGTAACTTTATGGTTGGCAACGAGCACATCACAAGGGTATTCAGAAAAGAGGCTCGCAAAGCCGCAGGGGCCCTCAAAGGATAGGCCGACAGGGCATTAGGACGCCTTAGGGTAACGGCGTGTATATGATAATAAGTAATGGTTGATGATCGCGCAGCTAGTAGATTTCACCGCATTACCAACTAACAACTACCAGATGCGGGTGCTTTTTCTAAAAAACAAGACAACCCCGGTGGACACGTACCATGAAGCGTTTTCCACGAATCATAGTCCTGAATTTGTGCCCCTTCTAAACCACGGTCCGGTCAGTGTGGAGGAAACAACCCAGTATCTATGCAGCAGCGCCTTTCTAGAAGAAACAGATCGCTTCATCATAACCTCCCAAAGAGCAGTCGAAGTATTCCATCTTTGCCTTGGCGAGAT